GACAGGAGAGGTCTGCTGTGCCATGTGGGTCAGCTCCCTGGCCGGGGATCAAACTCATGCTGCGGTGGCTGGCAATACCTTGATAGTGCTGAGACTTTAACCCCTACGCCACCAGGGAGGCCCCTCTGACAATGATTTTACAGTCATCAGCCAACTATGGTCAGTGTGTTGGCTTTTGTGCTAATGGCAGCTGAGAAGCTGTGATGGATTTGCAAAGTCTAAAATAAAATAGTCTGGTCCTTAATGGGAAGTTTGCTGACCCTGGTCTTTGCCTTCAACACAATGGTGATCCTGCAGGGTCTACCCCAGGATGTTGTCAAAGCTGCAATTCAAAACTTGGGCATGTCCTGTTACAAAACTTCTAGAAGTAGGGCCTCCCGGGTGGCGCAGTGGTTGAGCGCTGGGTTGCGAAGCTGCCCGCAGCCTCTGCAGCGCCGGTTCGATCCCCGGCTGCTCCCCGGCCACCGGAGGAGGGTCCCACATGGCGCGCAGACCTCTCCTGCCGCCCGCTGCTCCCCTCAGCAGTGTACTTCGGTCCTTCTGCCTGCTCTGCTCCCCGCTCTGGCTCTGGTGAATTCTCTCACCCTCCCGCGCTTCTGACTGTAGCCAGTGCTTATATAAATAAATAAAAATAAATCTAAAAAAAAAAAAAAAAAAAACCAAAAAAAAACCTTCCAGAAGTAGGGGAGCTAACTTCTAAACCTTAGCAAATGCCTCAGTCTTGAGTTCCGTTCATCTACATGCCATTCAAGAATTATCTACATCAAGAGGAAACACACAAAGAACTAGAATAAAGGGGATATTTCAGGACACCGTAAGGAACTATTCCTCACCTGGGAATTTGTCTTAAAAAGTATTTCACTTTCATTTTTTAAAATTTGTATTTTTGAGAACAGTTACAAGTTTACAGGAAAAAAATGACCAGTTCTGTTTTTAAAACTAATAAAAAAAATGTTTTACATAAAATTCACAGTGCACTGTTTTGGGGGTAATTTTTTTTTGAAATAATTGAGCTATGATTTATCTTCAAAATACATTTGTCCAAATATTAACGATGTAAATATGTAGAAATGGGAAACCCAAAAGTTGTCTAGCAAATGACTGTCACAATCACAGTTCTGTGTACAAGAAGATGTCAGCCTAGTCCAGGATAGTTTTAGATTTAACCACCCTGTACCATTCAGAAGCTTGTGTTGGAAATAAAAACCTAAGCCTACTATTCCAGGCAAATCATGGTCTTCTAGAACAGTGGTACTCATTCTTTTATATTGAAAAAAAAAGATGAAGCTTTGGCTATTTCAACTCTGATACAAAGAGGGAGAAGAGTAGTAAAGTGATTTCTACGAAATAGGAGTTTGGAAACAGATGAACTCATAGGCAGAATGAAGCAGTGCTGATGAAGAAAAACATTTAGCTCCCTTACTCAACCTTTCAAATTGCTTGTAATTCCAAATAGGTGAACACTCAATGCTAGATAATAACTTTTAATGCCTATAGCACTACTAATGTGCACCCCCCCCCATTTATTATGAGAACAGGTGCATCAAGAACAATTACCCGTTTAGGTAGTCACTGATGGTTCGGTTAATCAAACTACAACTCTAGTTATGACTAAGTCACCTTCCACTACCTAATTCCACTGTCAAATTAACTGAGTTTTATTTTTTAAAATGTATAGCACATAACGACATAATAAAAGCTATACACAACAAACCACAGCCAATATTATCCTGAACGGTGAAAAGCTGACAGCCTTTCCCTTAAGATCTGCAACAAGGCAGGGATGTCCTCTCTCATCACTGCTTTTCAATATAATAATGAAAGTCCTAGTCAGAGCAATAAGACAAGAGAAAGACATACAAGGAATCCCAATAGGGAAAGAAGTAAAATTATCACTATTTGCAGACGATATAATATACATAGAGAATCCTAAAAACTCCACAGAAAAACTAATCAAAATTATAATCAGTTTAGCAGGATACAAAAATCAGTAGCCTTCCTATATGCAAACAATCAATCTGAAGAAGAAATTAAGAAAACCATTCCTTTTATAACTGAAACAAACAAACAAACAAAATACTTGGGAATAAACCGAACAAAAAAGGTGAAGGACCTATACAAAGAAATATAAGCACCGGGCCTCCCCTGGTGGTGCAGCGGTTGAGCACTGGGCTGCGAAGCTGCACGCAGCCTGTGCAGCGCCGGTTCGATCCCCGGCTGCTCCCTGGCCACCGGAGGAGGGTCCCACATGGCGCGCAGACCTCTCCTGCCGCCCACTGCTCCCCTCAGCAGTGTACTTCGGTCCTTCTGCTTGCTCTGCTCCCCGCTCTGGTGAATTCTCTCACGCTTCTGACTATACCCAGTGCTTGTATAAATAAATAAATAAATCTTAAAAAAAAAAAAAAAAGAAATATAAGCACCATTAAAAAAATAGAAGACACAAAGAAATGGAAAGACATCCCTTGCTCATGGATTAGAAGAATTAACATCATCAAAATGGCCATCCTACCAAAAGCAATTTACAGATTCAATGCTATTCCGATAAAAATTTCAATGACATTCTTCAAAGAAATAGAACAAATATTGATGAAATTCATAAGGAGCCACAAAAAATCTTGAATGGCAAAAGCTCTCCTGACTAAAAAGGAGAATGGAGGTATCACAGTCCCTGATTTCAAACTATACTTAAAGCCAAAATATTAAAACAGTAGGGTACTGGAAACACACACACACCAATGGAATCAAACAGAAAATCCAGAAATAAACCCACATATTTATGGACAACAAATCTCGACAAAGGAGCAAAGAATATGCAATGGAACAAGGACAGTTTGTTCAATAAATGGTGCTAGGAAAACTGGACTGTTACTTGCAAAAGAATGAAGCTAGACTACTACCTCACACTATGCACAAGAACCAACTCAAAATGTATAAAAGACCTGAATGTAAGACCTAGAACTATACAATGTATAGAAGAAAATATAGGCTAAACACTACATGACACACATCTCAGTAACACCTTTAAAGACGTATCCCCCAAAGCAAAGAAAGTGAAGGAAAAGATAAACAACTGCAATTACATCAAACTAAAAAGCTTCTATACAGCAAGAGACACTAACCAAAACAAAGAGACACCCTACTGATAGGGAGAAAATTTTTGCATACAACTGATAATGAACTGATCACAAAAATCTACAAAGAGCTCACAGGACTCAACAAAAACAAACAATCCAGTCAAAAAATGGGCAATGAGCTAAAAAAGACACTTCTCTAAAGTGGAAATGCAAATGGCCCACAAGTATATGAAAAAGTGTTCAACCCCTTACAACCAGGGAAGTGCAAATCAAAACCACAATGAGATACCACCTTACACCAGTGAGAATGGCACACATTAAAAAAGCAAGCAACAACAAATGTTGGTGAGGATGTGGAGAAAAAGGAGCTCTCCTGCACTGCTGGTAGAAATGCAAACTGGTCCAACCACTATGGAAATCAGTGTGGAGGTTCCTCAAACTACTAATGGAGCTACCATATGACCCAGCAATTCCACTCCTAAGGAATCTACCCAAAGAACACAAACATATCAATTCAAAAAGATACCTGTACTCCTATGTTCATCGCGGCACTGTTTACAATAGATATGGAAAACCACCCAAAATGCCCAAAAATAGATGACTGGATCAAGATGAGGTGTAAATATACACAATTAAGCAATCAAAAAAAGATAAACTCATGCCATTTGCAGCAACATGGATGGAGCTAGAAGGGATCATACTCAGGGAAAGCCAGAAAAGAAAAAAAATATTGAATGGCTTCACTTATAGGCACATAGAGGAACCAACTAAGGGATCAGGAAAAAAATATGATAAAAAGCAACAGGATTAGCAGGCAACCACTGATCAGAGAGGTCCTGTGAGGGCGGGGGGGGGGGGGGGGGGGGGGGGGGGGGCAAGGGAGCGTAACAGGAGAGAAGGGCACGCGGGACTACGGCGATGGTTCACGGGTGAATTGGTGGTGGGAGTTTTATAGGGACTACACAATGATGTGAAAGATAGGAGTAAAAATAATAAATAAATAATTTATAGCATCAAAAAATACTGCAAATGAATAATGCTGTTTTTTTAATCCTTTATGTATGTTTCAAAATGCCCAGAAAATGTTAAGAGCCATATATTTTTCCCCTTTGGGAAAAATTTAATTTTATCATTACTGGCTGACATGCAACACAACTAAATTTGGCACAAAAACATGAGTGTCCATCTTTCATAGACAAAACGAGGGGTTTCTCTAGATAAGCGCATGGAAGAACGTGACAAGCAGTCGTGAGCCCTGGCTTCTGGGATCATGTCATCTGCAGTTTCATTACCAGCCTTTCCTGATTAACTTCATTCAACACCAAACACTTGATTTCAACCAAGAATGATGTTCCCAGTCTACACTTGATTTGCACCCGAGTGGTGGCAGAGATGTTAAAAGCGGGAGCCGTCACAGGGTTCAACCAGAATCGCGCAGACCCTCACCCCTATTAGATTAGTGCAGTGCTTTCAAATACCAGATGCTCCAAAGCGTGAGCCATTCACTGACCAATCATCTGAACTTAGGCCACTCACAGCACATTTTTAACGTTTTTTCTTTAAGTGTAGTAATAACTTAAAAAACAAGACCTGCTCTGCCAAGGTGGTTGGCACCAGCCCATTAACTGCCCTGGCAAACCCTTGTCTATGCTATGACTTTTGACTCCAACAGGAAGGCAGGGTACAAAGTAGCTCTAACTAGGCTCCCACACAATACCAGGAGTCAACTAGGGTCCCACCGAAGACGACAGCCAAGGGTGAAGTCATCCAACAGGATGCTCTGCCCGGCGCGGCAGCTCTGAGCTCAGTGTGTGCCGAAGACGTGACTCAGCGGAAGGGATTTTCTAGCAAGTGAACCATCTTAGTAAAGTCCATGTTCCTTTCTCTTTTGTTTCAGATTTAGTTTTAATAAAATAATGCAAATCATTTAAAGAAAAAATCTTTAATTTTAAATTCTGATCTAGGCATAAAATTCATTTTTGTATCATGGGTAAATTTAGTACAAACTATAAAAATGTTAACACTGAAGTTTCAACAGAAATCTAGTAAGATCCCTTAGAAAAATCACTTAAAAGAAACAATAGCAAGTCATTTACTGCTATGAGGTTAATACATAAAGAAAAAAACATTCACACATTTTACTGAATTTATCAGTAAATCATCTTAACCATAATACTTATCATAAAATTAAAAGTTTAAAAGTTGTGTGTGGCTCTATAGCAACTACAATTTGCAGTGAAAACTCTAGGCCTAATCTTTCTGATCTAACCAGAACAATTCTAGTTTAAAAAAAACTACTGATTGAAATTTGCAAACGTCAAAAGAACACCAATTGTGAAGGAGAAGGTGTATCACAACAATTTAAATTAAAGTAGAAGACAGTAAAAAACCAGGTGCTTTTAAGTTTGAATTGCACAAGGAAAACATTGGGGGGTGGGGAATTCAGAGCCATAGTTAATACTTTAAAAAAATATCATATTCTTATATTAAAAACATTAAATGAAGCCAGACAGTACCAAATTTTTACACAAGCTTCTTTTGTATTTCAATGCTGTTTATTGAGGAGTGAATGAGATACTACTGCCAGACATGCCAACAACACTTCACATTCAAGGGCTGGAAGCTGAGAAGCCATCCAAGTGGAGTCACTGTGTAAATCTTTTGGAGAAAAGAACTGAAAGTGCCACCAAATCAGACATCTTCATGCTGCTTGTGTGTGTCTTCAGCTTTCCCCCTATGCTTGGATCTACTAGTTTGTTGGGTAGAGGCTTCTTTCTACCCTACGAAAAGACTCACACTCCAATTAATAGAATGAACACGATAGCTGTATAACAATTTAACAAACATCTATGATGAGTAACTGATGTTACAGCTGTTGTGTCAAATTTCCTTATGTCTAACGAGAAAAATTAATTTTATTTCCCTTTCACCTTCACATGGGTGGGTTTTACCAATAGAAAAATACTCTTCAGTGCTACTGTAGGACTTACGGAACTTCTTCAGTGGTTGATAGAAATTCATTTAAATGCCATTCTGAGACCCAGAGCTGCTTATCCTGCTGCTGTGGCTGTGCAGAAGAGCAGCCGACACACAATTCTAACGTTCTCTTTTGCTTAAAAACAAAACAAAGAAACCTAAACAAAAGGGTAAACGTTTATTTGGAGTTAGTTTTCTGGTGGTGATATTAAGGCCCTTCAAGCAGAGTTCAGGAGCTCCTGTATGGCTGCCTGCTGCTCAGGACTGAGCTGTGCTATGCATTCAGTCCACAATCCTCCAGAAGTCTAGGGGAAAAAAAAAAACAGTTCACAGGTTTAGCTGGGGTGCAATGGTCATCAGCAAGTATTTTAAGAATTACTGTTATTATAGGTAGGCTATAAGAGCAAAAAAAAAAAAAAAAATACTTTCTTTCCAGGTAGATTGGTTTGATGAGTATTATTACAAAAGCAAGAAATCTGTTTACTTCTTTAAAGTTCATTTCAGTGGACGTTTTCTTCATTTCGCACTGATAAAGTCACATTAGGAAGATGACACAGACAAGTAACCGACATACATGAATTCAGGGAGTAAAGATCACTTAAAAAACTGCTAGGTGACATCTTCTTTACTAATGAAATCCCTCTTTTTCCCTTCAGTTATTACAGAAAAATCTTACGAGTCTATGCTAAGCACCAAGTAGAAGGTTCAAAATGTCTCACATTTTAGATGAAGGTTTTAGTTTTAATAAATGTGGAGAGATTATAACAAGTATAATCCATTTGAGGCTTGGAGTAGAGATTATAAAAACGAAATTTCCTATGCTCATTAGAGTTTATTTCCTTCTTGTAATATAGAATATGGAAGGGAGGTGGGAACAACTCAAGCCTAAGGAAGCATTTCATCTTTTTCAATTGGCCAGATCGGCTTACCTGTACTTGGCGAACGACATTAGCCAGACGTTTGGCACAAGGATCTTCATGTTTAATGGCCTCATGCATTTCTCCTTCTGCAATTATACTGAATATTTTGGGCAGATTGGTATTGTTTGGGCCAAGAACAATTGGGTGATTACTAGCAAGAGGAAAAAAAAAAACATAGATGAAAATGATAGAGAAATCATTCAAGCAATCGTACTTCTCTACACCTTCCCCCAATACTGCATTATAATGTCTTTAAAAGTTCATTATCCATTCACTAAAATCAACTGTCTTTTCAATTCAGTAGGAGGAAAAGCAGTTAATTTCACTTATGAGCTTTTCTGTTTTTCCCAACTAAGGAAAACACTTCGCTTATCTCTTAGGGTGGTTTGAAAGGCCAAATAGAATGCTTTAAGTATAATTAAATGCTCTATAAATAACTTGTGACCTGTCAAAAAAAAATAAGCAATTACTAATAACAATAGTTTCTTAACACATATGTGGATTCTTCAAAATAGACTGTAAAATAAATATGAAATTCAGAAGCATCTATGGGCCAGGAGATTAACTCTAGGCAAGTTTAACAGAAAGAGACTTAACGGCGAACTAGAATTCCAATGTCTAAGAGAAATTCAGAGCAGTCATTTCCAAGTGAGATGATCAAACAGCATGATGGAGATGGGTTACTTAAGAGGCAGGAGCAGGTAGAAAAGTGTGTAGTCTCCAGGAAGGCTAGACATTCCTTAGTGATGTTCTCAGTGGAAAGATTCAAATACAATACTTGAACTTAAAACAGGCAAGTAGGAATATGTCTGCTGGCTTCCTTTTACAAACTCCAGGAGATGAGCAGTGCTAGTTAGGTTTATTCATGAACTGAAAGTAGTAATTAAAGATAGAGCTCAAACCGGACTAACATTTAGGGGAACCTGGACTTAGAAAAACAGACACCAAACAACAGGCCTTTGATTTGATAGTGTCTACAGACTCCAGGTTATTGCAATTATAGAAAGACTCCTGGGCACAAAACAGCATTAATAATGCCAGAGCTCACGGTCAGATCTTGACTACCCATTTGGCATGCTTTCTTTATACCACCAAGTCTTGAATCCAAAGAAAAACACCAGAATTTTAGAGGGTCAAATAATGGTACTAACAATGTACTGCAATCTTATTCTAATGAAGATTTTGTCAATTATACTTCAGTAAAGCTGAAACAAATAAATGGCACAGGTAACAGAAAACTAGGGAAGGAATTTTTTTTTTTTTAAATCATGCTTCATAATGCCTAATCTGCTGGGGAAAACTCATAATTAGATCCAATGTTTAGGCAGTCTTAACTCGGACATGTTTTAGTAAGATTTATAGATAGCATTATTATCTGAGAGCTGTTTTATTATTAGGAGAGGTAAAAAAGGTGTACCTGTCCATTTTCTCACCTTTCAATAAGGTCGCACAGATAACTGAAAGTCTGAACAGCTTCTTCTTTGTCTTCATGCAGCGGAAGCCAAGACAACCAGTGTGGGAGGACTTCTTCTACATTCACACAATCAGGCTTGAACTTCATAATTTTCCCTACTGCTGAGATGCAGTTCTCTGTAGCGTTGACATTTTCTTTGGTCTTGGAATCAGCAGACTGAATAACTCTTACCAGCAGCGGAAGTGCTTCTAAAATAAAACATTTGAATAAGGGTGAGTTAAAAATCTCATTTTTATGCAAATAAACACATATAAACATTTTTTCACGTTAGAGTGTAAGGAAAGTTTTGTCTTCTTGGGGACAGAGTCAGAAGGATGAAAGGAGCTAGCCCAGTATGTCAGCAGAACTGCTCTCCTAAGTTACAGTCCTGTGAGAGGTTTCAGCCTCCACATCTATACCCCTCATCACCTCAGGGGACTAAGGTTTTAAAGCTGCTTAGTTACTTCCTGTGCTAAATGTACAGGCCCCCAAGAATGTTTCTCAAGTCGTAGCTAGGGTTGGGGTAGGCCCCCGATCTCCTAATTCCCTGTATGACTAAGGTGGGGAGACACTGATTCCACTCAGATTTCATTTCCATTTCAATGAGAACAATGATGGAGAACAATGATGGTGAAGTCTATGTGCTACAGAAGAGATGTTTGAAAAAGGAAAGAGAATAAAGCAGAAACAGGCATATGGTATTTGGGGGCATGGAAAAAAGAGCAAGGCAGTATGGATAAAAGGAAGCCAAATAGACAAATGTACCTGTACAAAAAGGGCGGTAGTTATCTCCGCCACACTGTGCCATGACACCCAGGCCGTACGCGGCCGCCTGCCTGACCTCTGGGCTGTTGTCGCATACGTACTGGAGCATTGGCCGTAAGAAATACTCTGCATATTTAAATGAGGCTGGACTACAGTGTTCTATAACATCATCAAAGATGCACAGTCCCCATTGTCTGTCTGGCCACGGTCTGTGTGGACACTACAAAAGAGATAGTCTTTTAAGCTTTCAATATCGGAGCACATAAAGAATGTCAGAAAAATAGTACAGAATACCAGCATACATGGATATTTCTGATACAGGAAATGAAAAACAACCTGATAACAACCACTTCTTGTGACTCATCATCCTAAAACTACTACAAGGATTTTGTTAAGTTCAGAAGATTTGAGTGATTTTTTTTTCTATTAACACAATCAGACATTACCATACACAAGAAGAGCAGCGGCATACCATATCCCTTTACTTTATAAAAAAACATGACGGTGATGCTGTACTTAAAAAACACAATTGGGGTGTGGTGTAGCGGATTGAACACAGCTCTGTGAAGCTGTCCGCAGCCTCTGCAAGCAAGGGTTCTATTCCTGGTGGGCCCAGGAGATTCCCACATGGCGCGGCAGACCTCTCCTGTCTCTAGCGTATTTCGGCTGTCTGCCTATTCTGCTCCCTACCCTGTCTCTGGTGAATCCTCTCACTCTCCCACGCCTCTGGCCTGTACCTCAGCTCTTATATAAATAAAATAAATCTTAAAAAAAACCCAAAAACCAAAAACAATAGGGGCCTCCCTGGTGGCGCAAGGAATTAAGTCTCAGCACTATGAAACAATCCACCGCCATTGCACAAGTTCGATCCCCGGCCAGGGAGCTGACCCATATGGGCGTAGCAGACCTCTCCTGACTCACCTACTGCTCCCCTCAGCAGTGTATTTCAGTAGATCTGCTTGTTCTGTTTCCCACTGTGTCTCTGGTGAATCCACTCACCCTCCCTGCACCTCTGGCCTACACCCCAGCTCTGTCTGCATAAATAAATAAATCTTAAAAAAAAAAAAACCACAATAATAAAATCTGCCAAGAGTCTAACTTTACAGTACTGATTTAACAGGTTAAGTAATAGTCATGTGTGTCTTCTCTTAAAAAATACACTGTACTATTTTAAAGGCAATAAAGCATAAAACTGAAAGCCAGAGAAGTTCTAATGATCACTTTTAATTTATAATATATATTTTAAAAATTGGGTATATAAGCACATTATCCAAAAAGATTGCTGGCTGCACATAACAAGGATATTAACTGAATTCTCTAGGGTCTACTACAAAAAAATGCCATCATTTTTGATTAATAAATGGATCTTTCCATTTATTAATTTAGCAGGGCACTGACAATTTAAAATAATGAAAAAAAATCACTTGCATGTCTTTAGAATTTGCTGGAAGTGATCTATGAAAAATATAAGCAAACTTCAAGTACAGTTGAGTGAGAAAATATTTAGGGCAATACAGTAGACTTGATAAAAAATTAAAACTGTTAAGTAGAAACATTTTATTTTATCTAAGATTCATTTTAAAAGCTGAAGTTTGCAAAGGCTGTAATGAAGAATTCCAGGTCAACAATATCTATCTACAATAACTGTCCAAAAGTAACACTTACAATTAGATTGACAATTAATGGAAGCAGTTGTTCAAACCACGGTAACACCTTCTCCTTGTAGCTACTGAATATCGAGTGTAAAATGTCTGACACTTTGGTCAGAATATAAACATCATTATCATCCTAAAGAAACAAAAACAAAAACAAAACACACTCAGATATATTATAAGTGATAGTAACGTTTATTTAAAATATCTAAGAAAATTTCTCATCACTTAAGGGGGCAGAGCAAGAGTCCAGAAAAGGCCACCTCAAAAATTGGGTGCCATGTCTCTTATCTGCTGAAGATTAAAAAAAAGGTGTGACAAATACTGTACTTATTGCAAAGACATTTTAAAAGGTACTCAAAAATGTGTGGTTGAAAATTATCCCAGATTCCCAAGTTTTAAAATGAAAAGTGTTTTACTTCAGTATTTTGTCTTCTCTAAGAATGTGTTTAATTGTGGAGCAGGATGATGGGAGATGTAGGTCAGTTATAGTATCTCACCCCTGGGAGCAACATGCATGCCAGCATAGGTGCACCCCATTGAGATCTGGAGTGACCCACATGCTAGCACTGCTCCATCAGGATGGCCACATGCCACACATTCTGGCCCCTAAATGGACAACTAAAATCATGTCTGGTGTCAAGTGATTTGATGAGAGACATGAATAACAAGTGGGGTATTTTATCAACCGCTGTATAGGTATCATTTATAAGGACATCTGCATTACTTTGTGTTCCAGTAGAAAGACAATTGATATTACAGGGAGATCTGGGATTAAGCCCGACTGTCAACAGTGTGTGGCTTTTTGGTAGTCATTTAAGAATTGAATTTGAGTTTACTCATCTTTAAAATGGTGAAAGCTGGGCCTCCCTGGTGGCGCAAGAGATTAAGCACCGCACTGCAAAGCAATCTGCAGCCTCTGCAGCACGAGTTTGATCTCCGGCTGGCCAGAGAGCAATTCACATGGCGAAGCAGACCTCTCTTGTCTCGCCCGCTGCTCCCCCAGCAGTGTATTTCAGTCGGTCTGCCTGTTCCGTTCCTCACTCTGTCTCTGGTGAATCCTCTCACCCGCCCGCCCCCCCTCATCTCTGGCCTGTACCCCAGATCTTTTATTCATAAATAAATAAATCTTTAAAAAAAAATGTGAAAGCACTTGTCAATATAATTGGTGTTGTGAAAAGCACATAAAGAGAGTGATACCAGGTGAGCTCAAAGTGTTTTGTGTAAGCTATTGGAATAAAACACATACCCAGCATCCCAAACACAAATCAGCTGATTTTTAAATCACTTACATTCTCAAAATTAATAAAACTACACATGCAACTTTTCTGCAAAAGATTACAGATAATATCAGAATGACAAGTCAGATAAATTAGAGATTGCAGCATTTAAAAATCTTTCAGATGCAAATGGTCATATTCTGAAGGGAATAATTTACCTCATCTTGTAGTGACTCTTCCACCTGTTCATCATAGTCTTCATCTTGTCTTTTAACTAAAACACACCCAAATAAATGTCTTTTTAAATGGTCGCCAAAATAGTCAAGGGTTGTATTCAGAAATGAAAGTATAGGAAAACTTACCTTGTCGCAATTCTTGGTTTTTAAAATGTTCTTCAAGTTTAGCTTTCAGTATACCTCCCAATTCTTCAAAGTGTTCATTATTAAGGCATCCATCTCCCATTACTTCAATGCACTAAAATAAGGAAAGCAAAGAAACAATCCATAAGCTTTAATATGAATTTTTAGAGTCAAGAATTAAACTCAACTAAGAAACACAGAAAAATGAGAAAAATTAACGTATTTTCAATGTTACAATAGTATTTTTAAAATTGAAAAAATATTTTTATTGTAAACAGGTCCTAGGCATATCTTAAGGATAAAACATTAGGGTAGGTGCTGAGGATTCAAAGATGCAACAGACCCAACAATTTCTAAGCTCAACACATTCATACTGTACAAAGATAGTATTGAAGAAAGTCTGCCTTGGTAGGGCACTGCAGGTAGGGACGCAACAGGAGCAGAGACCTGGGCACATGCATTCTTTGGAAAAATAGCAAATTCTAAATTGCAGGAATGTAAATGGGAATAAGAATGAAGAACTTTAAAGTCAAGAGGTAAGCAAGCTATGGAGCTGTGAGCAACAGTGGTGACCAAGATTATGGGGAGGTGAGTGTCTCCAAGAGCAGCAAGTTACTGCTCGAGGAGACTAAACTGCAAGAAAGGGAGCAATTTATGGAGTAGAACAAAGGCTCTTGCAACAGCATGAAGAGAGAGGGTAACAGGGAAAAATAGGAATTCAGAAGGATTGGACAAAGTGAAGGTGATATCTAAGCCTCTGTAGTTAAACATTAGGTAAAATAATGGAAAGCGACCAAGACAGGAATACAAAGACTGGCTACAATTAAGAAAACACACTAAAAGAACAAGAAACTGCCCAATTTATTCAGCAACAGTAAGAGATGAATGTGCGACCATCTACTCATATTTTTAAAAAACATTCACCTTTGCAAAAGAGTGCATTATTTCTGAGAGGACGTCCGAATCTGGCTCTGTGCCAATGGCCTTGATTAACGCGTCACACATGAAGTGCCACATCTGTGTGAGATATTCAGGACCACGAACTCTTGCGCATTCCAGGAGAAGAGGCATGGATTCTGCTGCTGCCACGCGAACACGTTTCATTGTTAAGGGAATGCAATCCTATCTTCAAAAGACTGTTCTATCATTTTGCTTGTGTAAGTGTTCACTGGGCTAATTCAAGCCAGGCAACTTCTGTTTATCTAGAACTGCTATCCAAGAGCTGTGTTAAATACGACTTGTGTATAAAAATAGCAGTCTCTCTGCCCATAAGACATACCTCCCTGTCTTCTGTCACCTACAATACAGTAGTAATGATGCCAGTGGCACAGAGCACTGGGCCTCCTACAGCTCAAACATAACCCAAAAACGTAGAAACAACTAGAAAAGGAACTGAGATCCTAATAGCCTGTCTCAAGAGGTACTTATCCTCAGACATAAGTTTCTAATAAATACAACTACAGTTAGGACTTCACTGGGAAAAGTATGGAAGAAAAACAGTTCTTCCTTTATTAGGCTTTTCAGTTTCCAATGAAATCAGTTGCCTCTCCCTATCACATACCATTTGTAAAAATATCTTGGGACTTCCTCTTATAAACAATCCTGCTTTGCCCTCTGGCATCCTGGGAAGTCTGCTGGGGGAAAAGACATCAGCGGTGAAGGACTCCAGGACAGGAAACTGCATAAACAACTACAACAAAGGGCTCTGTGGCAGACGTGGGTTTGAGTCCAGATTCTGCTACTCCCCGGGGCTTCTCACCCACTGATGAAAGTGCATGTGTACACACATGTGTAAAAGCATAAACATGTATTTACACATTTCTCCACCACTGTCATTACGCTAAGGAGAAAAACATTTTAACATGCAAGATGTTTCTCCCCAAAGGTGCTAGCTATCCACATCCGAAATGTAGGATTCTCAACGCTAACAGAGAGGTGTCAATGAGTCTCTAACCTATTAAGAAATGGCTTACTTTCTTAACTTTACAAGCTATTTGGGAAAAGCTGTAATTATATGCAATAGTAAACATGTGCTAATTAAATATCAATATTAAAAATCCTTCAGTGGCCCACAGAATATTGTCAACCAGAGGAGATACATTTTCTTTTTCATGTTTCAGGCACAAGAGAACCAAAGGCCCATGTAGAGAACCCAGTTTATAACCTGCAACTACTGTTAGTGCAAACAAAAACAGTAATGGTAATATATATTTGAATGAGTCATCAAATGTAACCAAATCTAAAACTGTGTGTTCAAAATGTAAAGGATATCATCGTGGAAGTAAAATTTCAGTAACGGGACCATCAGTTTGACAACCTGCTCGGTGTACTCCACAAAGCCCTCCTTCAATTCCTTGGCATAGCAAACCTGAAAACAATGTGTTGGGAAATCAGTCAAGATCCATGTTAGTTTGCAGGTATTAATATTTATTAATGACAAAATAATAAAGACCATGGAAAGCTGTATCATGCCTAGAATTACGTATTTAGAGCTGCACAGAGGACTGTCAAATTACTTTTATTTAAAAAGAATGTGAAATTAGCGACAAAAAAATCCTGAAAACTGAATTGCAGCATATCAGTAAAATATAAATCTGTAGCAAATACCTAAGTTATTTTGTACTTTAAAGAAATTATTTCAACAGTAAAACAAAAAGTGCTATTTTAAAAACTTACTCTCTTCTACTTCATTAAGAGTTGGTAATTTGTATTTGCTCTTCAGAAATTCTTGCTCAGAAAGATAACACAAAAATGTAAAATGTTTATAAATTTTAGCCACGTATTGAAGAGTAAATTCAAGAAACATTTTTAAGTGAATTAGGACATGATAATGCTCTATTAATATAAAGTAAAATTTAACCAATTAACTGTTCTTTAGATTTATTTTTATTTTTAAAGATTTATTTAGTTATTTATACAAGCACTGGGTACAGTCAGAAGCACGGGAGGGTGAGAGAATTCACCAGAGCCAGAGCGGGGAGCAGAGCAGGCAGAAGGACCGAAGTACACTGCTGAGGGGAGCAGCGGGCGGCTGGACAGGTCTGCACACCACGTGGGACCCTCCTCCAGTGGCCAGGGAGCAGCCGGGGATCGAACCGGTGCTGCAGAGGCTGCGGGCAGCTTCACAACCCAGCGCTCAACCGCTGCGCCACTGGGGAGGCCCTGTTCTTTAGATTTAATTGCTAAATTTATTAACATACCATAATCTCAATTCTTTCACTAAAAAAACAACAAAAAATCCCTAAGTGTCTATGACACACACTAAAAAGGAGGAGAAACCTCAAATTACATATGAAAGATAATTATTGTAAACATTTTGATTTTCCTACTCTCTTTTGTTTATATAACTGAAATCATACAGTTTTATTTTTAATATTGGGAGCATATTTCAATTCATTAAAAAAAATTCCTTGGCTATCTACTATATATAAATCCCCAGACAGACAAAAATCCTTTTCCTCTTGTAGTTTTGCAATTACTGTGAATAATTACTAATCATCTTCCTATTATAAGGCATTTAAGTTATTTTTTTTTAAGATTTATTTTTATTTATTTATGCATACAAGAATTGGGGTGTAAGCCACAGGTGCAGGGGGGGTGGGAAGTGGGGGAAGAGGATTCACCAGAGACAAGAGTGGGGAGCAGAACAGGCAGATCTACTAAAATACACTACTGAAGGAAGCAGTGGGCGAGACAGGAGAGGTCTGCTGCGCCATGTGGGCTAGCTCCCTGGCTGCAGCTTGATAGCACTGAGACTTTAACCCCTATGCCACCAGGGAGGTCCTTGTTGTTGTACTAAGAACAGCAAAGTTAAAAGGTTTATCTACATGGTTTCTTTAAGATGTAAAATGAGAAGTGGAAAGGTTTCTACATTTTACTTTTTAAATAATATATTCCCAGCTCGTTTTCCCCCCATTCCCTCTCCTATATCCCCACCCTTCAAAATAATTGAGCATGTATGCAAAGCATTCCTATGAAATGCATATTATCAGTCATAAAACAAAGTTTAGTAAACATCATAATCATTTACCAGCATCTGGCAAGCAGTTGACTTTTCTTCCAGTCCTGCAGTTTTAATACCAAAACTTTGCTGATCTCCAAGGTTCACAAATTCCCAGCCATCATCATCACTCATATTTTCCATGTCTTGAGCTAGTAACAGGGAAGAAAACAAAATTCACGTTAAAAATAACAACAGAGTGGAATTTTATAATCGTTATGTCCTCAAAAAGACACCTACTGTCTAAAAGGGCCACTTCAGGCTTAATGGAAGCTGTCTTCATTAAAGGTCCCATGACCACTGGAAGATACTGCTGAAATTCTTTCCCAAGGATTTTGCACATTCTGGCCCATGCTGAGATCATGTAAGAGATCTTGGGGGGAAATATTAGAGGAGAAAAAAAAAAAGAGAACATCATAATAGAAGTCATTTCTCTGTATCATGGAAACAATGTTTACATTCACAGATCTTTAAGCATTAAGTGCATTTTCTTTTTTTTTTTTAAAAGATTTATTTATTTATTTATTTATTTATTTATTTATTTATTTATTTATTTATTTATGCGGGGAGCAGAGCAGGCAGACGGACGAGGTACACTGCTGAGGGGAGCAGCGGGCGGCAGGAGAGGTCTGCGCGCCATGTGGGACCCTCCTCTGGTGGCTGGGGAGCAGCCGGGGATCGAACTGGTGCTGCAGAGGCTGCAGGCTGTTTCGCAACCCAGTGCTCAACCGCTGCGCCACCGGGGAGGCCCTAAGTGCATTTTCTAAGGCCATAAAATGTTCAGAAACAATAATGAATTTAAAAACAATTTCTAGTTTTCATTCTCTTCATAAATAACTGCCATGACTTTTTTTTTTACTGAGGTAATATTAGTTTATGAAGGTGCACAGGTTTCAGTTGTAGTATCTCACCTTGACACTGTTTTCTAGAACATTTTCTACTTCACTTTGTTTCCCTACTACCTAGCATTCCATTTAATGAACATTTATCAACATCCAAGAGACAAAACATCCCTTTCTCAATTTTTTTTTTTAAGATTTATGCATACAAGAACTGGGGTACAGGCTAGAGGTGTGGGGGTGAGAGGATTCACCAGAGACAGAGTGGGGAACAGAACAGGCAGACTGACTGAAATACACTGCTAAAGGGAGCAGCGGGTGAGACATGAGCAGTCTGCTGCACTGTGTGGGTCACCTCCCTGGCTGGGGATCGAACCTGTGTTGCAGTGGCTGCAGATAGCTTCACAGTGCTGCGTCTTAACCCCTTGCACCACCAGAGAGGCCATGATTAGTGTTTCAATTTTCTGTGCAAGCGGCTGGGGTATACTTTAAGGCCTCTCACCTGCAAATCACCTACAAAGAAACTGGTATGGTTCACTGTGCCTGTAACGCACAAAGTGATTTTTACTTTGCAGTAACTATGTATCTTGTCTGCCTCACTTGCATATGCGCATCCATAGCTATACACAAACTCCCCATTCCTATTAATTTAAAAATCAAAAAAAAAACTAAATAAATTTAAGTGTAAAAATAAAGCCCATTCACACCACAAATTATGTACTAGGTGTGTTCCACATGGCAAGCACTCTACTGCTCGCTGAAACAAAGGTGGACAGGTAGGCACAGTCTTTAGAGTGCCCAATTCCTCTCAGCTCTCTACTTCTAGCAATTTATTAATATCCTTCTGGACTTTATATCTCCGTACATATAAAAAACATGCATATTTATATACTATTGTGCAAAGAAAGCAAAAACCTGTACATGCTGTTTATCACACTCCATACTACTTACTCTTTTCCTATTCAAGTAATGGGGGAAACAACTACAATGTGGTTGGGTAAGATCAAAATTTAATCCAACAATTAACCAGTGCCTGTTACAGGTCAGGCATTATAAACTTTAGATTATGACAGACATTTACGATGTTATCACAATGGTGCCTTAAGTACCCATACCCTGGAGACTTATAAAGGATGTGAACTGTGAGTGAGTTAGCCAGATTGGTGGGGGCGGGTTCTTTCTAATGTGAAGGTATGTTTGTTCACATGCAGAGAGAGACTAAAACCACTGGGTTTCTGCATTTCTTTTTCTTTTGACAGAAGCGGAAGTCATATGGCTTTCAAAGGGCCAGGAAGCATCCAAATGGAGTTATCTAGTAAGTGGTTGGAATAAATGATCTCTGAACTCAGAGGCTATCTGGAAGTCACAAGCACCACAGGAAAACTGAAGCCATGATTGTGAACAACACAGCTCAAGGGGAGGAAGGAAGTAACAGAGACTAGCATAGGACCCTCAAGAGCAGCTATGAGGTGAGAGTCAGGAAAGGCAGTATCTGCAAGGGACTGAGGGAAAAAAAGGGCATGAAAAGTATAAGGGGACCCAGGTAAGAATGTCTCTGAAACAGGGCTTGTTATTCTCTCAAGATACCCATCACCCAAATTTTTCTTAGTACATTTAACTTGCACTATCCAAAACTCCTAAATGGAGCAGAGTGCATGAAGGCTGCTTTACCTGAGGATCATCATCTTCCATATCACTGAAGTCTGTCTGGGTCTTCAGCAATAGCTGCATTACATCTGATGCATCTTGCATGAACTAGAAGAAATTTGTGGAAATCAACACCAGGATCACTCATGTATTTCAGATCAGAGAGGTTCAACTTTGTTTACAAAATTTATCCCAATAGATTACAATTCCCACATGGGTCATAATCCCACAAATATCTTGAAAAAGTTTCATCTACATTGCAAAGAACTGAGTGCTCATCCCAGATAAATATATTTGCAGTGAGGGTCAAGCTAAAGTGTAGTATAAAAATATTTCTAAGGGCATCAAATTTCATCTTATGATTTATATATATTTTTAGCAACAGAAGGACAATCCAAACCCAGTAAGAAAATTTTGCATTTTGTAAAACTGATTTCATCTAACTGTGTATGCAATCTCCATTGCATAAACAGGCAGTATTTCCAAGATAATCTGAAAGACAGATATAGAGTATGGAAATAGAAATGTTTTATTGGTTAGTTTCTCAGTGTCCCACAGAAAACAATTTATAAGTTAATACTAGTGCTGGCTTTAGAGGAGACCAAGCAGAGAGGATCTATGGGATTCAGAATGTAAGAGGCTGACAACATAGGAACTTGTTTGGGATTAGTTTTGACAACCATGAGATGCTGACTTGGAAGAAAAACACACTGACTAGTGGCCCCTGCTAATTATTTCTTGAAGGGGCTATACGCATATGGATTGCTTTTTGGATTAACAGCAAAGCAAGTAGAATGTTTCTAAACACATGTTGAAATGAGTAAAAGTAAACTCATTTTGGATGATAGGTTTTGAACCTCAGAAAATTCCCAAGAGACAGAATGTAGATGTGTAAAGGAAGAGGTTTCAAGAGCAAAACTGCATTAAATCCCAATGATTAAAAAAAGGGAAGACAATAATTTATATATTAAAGGACAGGATGATGAAAAAAATGAGCATCTAAACACCATTTGTCAGAGGAGGGTCCCTCCATTACTCTCAGTGCCTCCACAGCCAAATTCCATACAATCCATTCAATACAAGCCACTTACTTTTTCCTTCCCAACAGCCAGACCAATGAGGCTGATGCATTCAATAGTTTTTCCTCTGAGAAGTCTGAGCTCCTTTTGAACTGCATTCTCAACAATATGCTTTAGTGATGGCATAAATAAGTCATAGTATGGGACAAATTTTTCCTCTGCAGTATCTGCAACTGATGCAATAGATGTCACAACTTGTTCCAAAACTAACTTGGTGCCTTTCTGAATCAACTAGAAGGAAGACACACAAAATAGATCCATAATGAGAAATTGGAAGAAGTAATCCCTTCAAAAGCTTCTCTGAATAGCAAGCTGAGACCACCCTCCAAAAGTTAGACTGGAGATGACAGGTTTTGGACAAATTTAAGAATTCCCATTGAACTATTTATATGGGCTCTTTTCTGTCAACATAGTGCTCCTTACTTATTTTTGCCTTATCTCAAAGTAGTTAACTTTCCAGCATGTATCTGACTGCTGTTAAAATTTTTGTTCAATGCCTATTCTTACCAATTTTTCCCTTATTTGTTCCCACTATTTGTGTTTTGGGCTGTCATATTATATAGAGGAGAAAATTAACAACATTCAACTGTTTTTAGGTTGTACTGCTTACGCCATAACAATAAACCTGTTCAGATGACCAGGCTTTATTTAAAAAATTCCATATAATTAAAGCAAAACGGATATTCTCTTTCCATATTTTCTCTATTTCTGTCACCAAGGTTAGAATAATGGTGGTCAACATTTTTTACTTCTCATCTTTTAAAACTCAAACTGGCAGAAAAGTATTGCTTTAAAGAAGTGTCCTCTACAATCGTCTTCCTCCCATAATTTCTCCTAGTACCACCCAGGCTCCCAGAATAACTGTATGATGGGTCTTGCCCTAAATCTCCTTTTTTTGCTTATGCCTCACAAAGCTACCATGTGAGTTTCCTACAATGATATCACCATGATTTCTTGCAGCAGTTAAGAACATAAAATAGTTCTTCTAATTTTAAATGTATCAGTTCAAAAATAATTTTGCCTTGTTTTCAAGACAATTCATGTTGGTTTTACCTAACCTTAAGGCTGAATTTTTTCCAATTCCAGTACTAACCCTTTCTCTGATCAAGTCTGAATTATTCTGCTTAGAATAATCTCAAATGTTCTCCTATTAACTGCTTATTCTTTAAAGCCATGCTGAAAAGCACCTCTTTCTCCAGGTCTTACCCATAAAATTAACCTAAATTAATTTCTAAAGAAGAGGCTTAAAGATCTTGAAACTTACCTCTTGAAGTTTAAGTACCATAATGGAGTGCAGATGTTTCACCAAATTGTCTAGATATGGGATGAGTAAGGACTTAGGGCAATCCTCAGTGAAGTTAATGAGAGCGGCGGCTGCGTGGGCCTGCACTCGCTGATTGCCCTGGTCTTCCATGGTCTGCAGCAGTGCTGCAATCACCTGTGAAATTAGATTGTACATATATGCATTCTGCAGCACCACCCTTCTTCATATATAATTGAGTATTTGAGAGGCTTCTGACTTACCTTCTCATGAAATTTCTTTTGGAAGCCAGGTGCAAAATCTGTAGCCATCTGTCCCACAGCATTACAGGCTGCATATCTTACTCGGGGATGCTGAAATAATGTTCCTGTGTATTAGCAAAGGCAATGGCTTCCCAAGGGAAACTATGATACTAACTGTGAATCAAATGTCTATGAGTACTTACAGGATCCTGAAGAAAAAGCAAAACAAAATTTACTATCTCATTTAGAATTCCTTCCATTTGCTGGTGACATCCTTCACCAATGGCAGATAAGGCCATTAACCCCGCATGCCGGTATTTCCAGTCAGCTATGAAAGAGTTACACATTAAGAGAATAGCAATTAGACACTACAAACAAGTCATTCCAGTATTTAGAAGTACAGCCTTTTTTGGGAAAATATGGAAATATTTTAATATAGCTCTTAGGAATATGGACAGAAAAAGTGCCTGACTGGACAGTTTCTATTATGAGGGAGGTTATTGCACATAACTATTTCTCTTCTAAAAGTTAAAAGGCAACATGGAAGCAAAGAGCTAATCAGTATTTAAATCAATTACTTAAAGTAAGAAATGCTCCCCCGGAGGCTTACTGCAAACAACAGAATTTTGGGTCATACACTGATGAATGTAGGGCAAGCATCATTTCTCTCCAGACAGGGAGCCCAAGGTGCTAAAAAGACTTGCTCAAAGTCACATTTAGCAACAACAAATCTTTACTGAGTTCAATACCACATAGAAAGACCTTTGCCAAGTTCAATTCATTATAAATCACTACTTCATACACAAAAAAATCTATTTGAAAAACTGTCCATCAGTGGAGAAACATCGGTAACTGGTTGACTTGTACAAACTTAGACTCAGTGGTGCCAAAGATGAATAGAATGTTATTTATTTAACAAAAAAATTTGGGGTGGGATCCTTTTTTTTTTTTTTGGTGGGACCCTCACTGGTGGCCGGGGATAGAACTGGTGCTGCAGAGGTTGCGGGCAGCCTCGCAACCCAGCGCTCAACCGCTGCACCACCAGGGGAGGCCCTAGAACGTTATCATTTTAAGTAAAAGTTAGGTTAAACAGACTATAGATAGGCAGACTAGTTTTCAGGCATATTCTAAGTGCTTGTCAGTAATTAAGATTTAGAAAGTCATACTGCATTATTCTAGCATTTGTAGGATAACTTACGGTTTTGAAGCATTTGCATAATATGTTCCTTTATCATGGGTAGAACCAGCTTTCCACCAAGTCCACAAGCCATTCGGTCTAAAGCACTCTCACCAGCAACTGCATTGCTACAGGCAAGCAAAAAATTATGTATTCAACATATCCAAGAGTAGTATACCGCAGACATAATTCTAAACAATGTTTAAATTCAGATTACAGAACAGCATTGAAAAGAATAATATAAGCAGTCTTTTGAATGTGTGTAATGTGAGCTAAAAGTTCTAGATTTAAAGGAGGGGAGTGCAAATACTTTTTTTTTTAATCATGATTTACCACGGTTTAAAATGTCCTATGTCTGAATCTTATTTTTTAAGACATTTTCCTTAATCTTGCCCCCACAGCCTAACCTCAAGACTGAGGCATGAGCAGAGTTGCTAGAAGAGCACTGTGTTATCTCATTTCCTGGAGATGTACCCTTTAAATTGATCAATGAACAGAACATGGAACTCTTAAAGGTATAAAGAGAGTAACTGGTTTTCTCTTGCTGTCATTTTATTTACCTTTAAAGAGGTGCACTCCTAAAAAGCATGTACAGGCAAAACTCATTTTTAGTGTTTTCACTGTAAACTGAAGAAATTTGGGCATAAAAACTTTTGTACTATCTTAGAACTGCAAGATTCATCATTTGTCATATGTACAATCTCTAACAGTTCTATGAAGATTACTGAAGTGATCTTTACAAAGGTTTTTAGATGCAAACTCATCTTAAAAATATATTTATGGTTAATTACTCATAGATAATAAGAAAATCTCATTCATCTAGAATCAGAAAAAAGTTTCATAAACTACATAAATTTATGTGGCTTTACAGGGCAAATTAAAGGCAATGAAGTAGCAATTACAGTAACTGAACCAGGCAAAAGAAAACTGGTATGACTTCTTCAGCCCTGACAGGTGATTTCCAGTGAAGGATCACTTTCATATACCTTAAAACAGAACTTAAGCCAGAAACCAGTCATTTTTAATAGGATTAATTCCTGGTTATTTAACATCTGTTACAGTAGCTGACTGCAGCCTTATCAGGGGAGTAATTCCTGCTCTTTTTTGATTGACTCTGTTACAGGAATCTGAATTCAAGAGACCTCCCTAAATTGAGACAAGTAAGACAATTAGGTCCAGTGCTCTGTAACCTAGAGTGCAAAAATCTTGTCACTTGTCATCTCTCTAGTCCAAATTATATTATATTGGGAAAATATGGTATTTCATAGGGAACTGTGCAGGAACAACTATTATAAATGAGATCTATACATACAAAGCCATTAATCACACTAAAACTTTTTTTTTTTTTTTGGTGGGGCCCTCGCTGGCGGCTGGGGAACGAACAGGCGCTACAGAGGCTGCAGGCAGCCTTGCAGCCCAGCGCTCAACCGCTGCGCCATCAGGGGAGGCCCCAATCACACTAAAACTTTACACATATTGTAAAATATACTTTTAAACATACTTTGAAAAAAGACTTGAAAGTTTAGAGTCAGAACAAGCACAAAAGATAGTTATGCCATTAAAAACGCTTACAAAACTTGCTACAGAAGAAAACCTAAATGTCCCACATTCCACACTTCAACACTGAATTCAGATTACAGAATCCAGCGGTGAAGAGTTGGTCTGTCATCTTACACTCACTGCCACCTGACCTCGCTCTATTCCCTCAGGAACCTCCAAGTGGAACTCGGAGCATGGGATTACCTGTCAAAGTCATCATCTTCCAGTTCATCTGCATTTGCCCAGTCCTCATCCTCTTCAAGATCAACCATCATTGCTAACATCTGAGGAACTAAAGTAAATAATTAATTCATACCCGAAGACTAATTTTTCACTTTCTCAATATCACCATTTACAAACAAGAATTTAAGATTTATAATAGGAATTCCTGTCTCTGTAAGACAAAAAATTATCTGCTTGGGTCACCAACATCTAGCTTGTTCAATTTTCACCCATTCACATTTGCTTGGATCTTGTTCTTTCTAAGGAATAACATGAAGGATAAAAGTCAATCTTCCCAAATCCTACCCCTTACCAGGGATGAACACCATAATCAATGTTTCTCAACCCAAACTATTTTTATACTTAAACTACAGATTTTTAATACCTACATACAAAATATAATACTAATGAGTTTTTATATGATGGTATCAAATTGTATGTATCCTCTGACAACACTGTCTTGACATACATTCAGCTAAATACACTATGCACTATTGTGCTGATGGACATTTTGGTCGTTTCTCAATTTTTTCTTACCACAAAATTTGCTTGGATGGATTCTTCTACTTATCTTCTAGACTAATGTAGGGCATGAAATTGTTATACTACCTTCAATATTACTAAAATCCACAAAATGGCTCTCCATAGTGGCAGTATGAACTTGGATTCTCAGAGGAAGTTAAAAAGGAGGCCCATTTTATTTCACAAGTTGTGAAGTGCCCTGGAGTTGTGGGTGATAGCCCTGCCCTCTGTGCTCTGTACCTTCACCCACACTTGGTATTGTCAAACTTTCTGACCATCTATATTTCTGGAATGGCATCTACTTTTATCAAGATTGGGCAGTGTTCATTAGTTTTTTATAATTTCTTTAGTGAATTTCCTAGACACTGACACTTTAGTTAATTATGTGCACCACAACTTTTCTTTCCCAGTCTACTGCTTATCTTTTAACTTCTAATTAAAAGGGATAGACATGAATGGTGTACTCGATTAAAAAATTGGTCTTTTTTTGCATTTGACAATTTAGCAATGTTTGTACCTACAGGTTATGATTCAGTCTTAAAAAAATCCTCTTATAAAATGTATTTGTTACTTAGGAGCTTAATCAAAGCAATATTCACTTTTATAGGGTACTTGAGGTTGAGATCTATTTTTTTGCCACAGAAATAATCAGTTTCTACAACAATCTTTGAAGAATTATCTAATTTCTGTTTCCAGGTGAATCTACTTCTAGACCTTTTTGCTCTATTAGACCCTTTTGTCTGTACCTACATCACCAACAAATTCAATCTTCACAGCTGATAGGTGAGATCTCTACTTTGTCAAAATACTTTTGGATACCCCAAGCCCTATACTCATCCTCATTAATTTTGGGATCCATCTATCATAATTGAGAAAAGCTAGTATTTAATTCTTCTATTAGTTTTTCCATCTATTATTCAATTTTCTCCATAAAGTTCTTTTGATTTATTTCTAAGAATTCTAAGTCATGACTGGCATTAAGAGGGTTCAGCAGCAAAGCCACCACTTTGGAGCCGTGCACATGTGTATAGAAATGTAGTTTCCCAGGCTCATGGATCCATCTGATTTTGAAAAGATAGCATTATGAGCATATCTGTGAATTTACATAATTATCACCAAACCTACCTTACAAATTTTCCACATTAATACAAACTATTTAAAGACCTCTGACTTACTAGTCTGTGCAACAATATTGGTATGTTTTCTTAACATAGCAGCTGCTGTCTCCGAGAGGGTCACGATTACTTCAAGGGCAAGCTGGCGTTGCATGTTATTGAGGCTAGTGTCTCCACACAACTACAAAGAAGGCATAATTGCATACATTTAATAATTTAGATTAATTGAGAACAAACAGAACAGTTACTAAAGAATTCAGCTTACCTTTAGACTTAGCTGTAAAGTAGCTTCCAAGTGAGGACGCAAATACTTTGGAACAGTGTCTGCAATCTCAACAAGGGATTTTAGGACCGAATCATCATTCTGGTAGCAAGAGTCATTAACAGCCTAGAAAAGATAAAACAGAAGAAAAAGGTCTGAATTCAAGAGTCACACCAAGAGAAAGAGTACTTTTTGCTAAATAGCTTAGCAATCTATATTTTGCAAACATTCTACCTACAGCCACAAGTATATCTTCCTTCTGGCTACTGTTAACTAAAAACATATAAAACAAAGACTGACATCCAAGGTAAAAGCAAAATAATGAAACTACAGTCACCACAACCTCAAGGAACTCCCCCTATACCTGGCAGGCAGCCCTTTCTCTGTCCCTCCAATTTCCATATCCTCATCATCTTTAGACATAACTACTAGATCCTGGGATACATGTGAAATATCTAATATCACCCAATTTATTTCTTTTTGACATCAAGTTGGGGCACTGTGTGTAGCAGTTAAGTGAGCATTTTCTATCTACCATTGCCTATTTCAGAATGACAGCTCACTAAGTTTTGGCAAATATTTTAAATTACTCTAAATTCAAAGGAAGAAAAATCTGGAATTTGACTTTTAAACAAGATTTCTAGGTAATAAATAACCTATTGAAACAAAATTATGGAACAGTTAACGTTTTGCCACTGAAATATCTTTTCAGTTTGATGGCACGGAGAGAAAAGTTTCTACTAAATCATGCTAACAACTGTATCATGTAGGAACCTTTTCCTGCTCCTCTGAATCCTCTCTGACCCAGGGGCTCTCAAACAGCGTGCTATTTCTCCCAGCAGGTGTTTCCTGGTCATCACAATGACTGATGGCAGGGGTACTAATGTCCTGTGTATCTGTGACACAAATGCTTATGACAAACTAAAAAGAACCTATAATGTATGTAAAATGTTCATATATGTCAGACACACTTACAAAAATTAAAAAACTTTAGACTCTAATTCACAAATTATTTTCTGCTGGTTTCAATCCAATATTTAAATACTATGTAATAAAGAATACATATTTTGTTTTGTACAGAACTTTACCACTTTTGGAAATCAAATCAACAGTAACAGCAAGCATAGTATTTGATTTGTTAATAACACCTCCGATCATTTTTAGCTATTACATTTGTATAGATTACCCACTCTTGTCTCTCACTGTAGTGTTGCCTTAGCATTTACATATGGAAAAGTATGCCATTTATTACATGTTACTGCCTCTTTATTTCTTCTTTGTATGTAGTTAAGGGCGACACGTTACTTTTAAAACTTGTGTATGTACCTGAGTTACATTACCCAGGCATTTCATTTTAGTATAGTATATGAGAAGTTACAGCATATTCATTATAAAAAGAGGTTTGGGATCTTCGAAGTCAGAAAAAAAAAAAATGACATCTCTATTATCCATCTTATTTTACTTCCCAACTGAGGAAGAGCTATCTGTAAAATAACTACTTATATACTTGGGATTCAATAATGTGAACTAACCATAAACTATTTATAACATAAACACTTAGAAACTCCATGGTTAAGAGTAAAGACTACAGTTCAGGTTGGGTTTGAACTATATGATTCTACCACTCACCAACACTGTGTGACCTTGGGGAAATTTCTTATCCTCTCCTCTTTAGTTTCTCCTTATGTAAAATGGACATTAAATGACATTAAATTTCATACGTTATTTGAATTATTATTTTTTAAGCTTTTTTTAAAAACATTTATTTATACAAGAACCGGGGTATAGGCCAGATATACAGGAGGATGAGATGATTCACCAGAGACAGAACGGGGAACAGAACAGGCAGACTGACTGAAATACACTGTAGAAGGGTGCAGTGGGCAAGACAGGAGAGGTCTGCTGCGCCATGTGGGTTGCTCCATGGTTGGTGGGGATTGAACCAGGACTGCAGAGGCTGTGGACAACTTCACAGCGCTGTGCTCAACTGCCTGTGCCACCTGGGAGGCCCTGAATTATTTTTTTTTTTAAAAAAGATTTATTTATTTATGCATACAAGAACTGGGGTACAGGCCAGATGCGCCGGAGGGTGGGGGTGTGGGTGAGAGGATTCACCAGAGACAGAGCAGGGAACAGAACAGGCAGATGACCGAAAAACAATGCTGAGAGCAGTGGGTGAGACAGGAGAGGTCTGCTGCGCCATGTGGGATTCTCGTGGGCCGGCCGGGATTGAACCCTCCACGCTGCAGAGGCTGAGGACAGCTTCACAGTGTGGCGCTCAACCGCCTGCGCCACCAGGGGAGGCCCAGGTTATCTGAATTAATGGAACTAACCTATGGGGTTATATATTTAAAAATAAGCATCAATTACATCACTTGCATTATAGACAAAATTTACATCTCTAAAATTTTAAGTGACTGAGTCTATCAAAGGCAATAAATGTGAGCACAGTGGGGATTAGAAATTTACTTATTTCTTCACTTTTATATCCCAAAACCTGTGCATTAGACAACTCTAAGGAATGTAAAGTACAGGAAAACCAATAAGGATATAATTATCACCTATCTGTATTGTTGTCTTACCTGTAAGAATCCAGGTAACAAGTCTGCAAAATGTTTGAACAGAGCAACATTATGCTCATTTGCAAGAATAAATGCAGCTGTAGCTCTAGCAGATAATGTCCTGATCTAAAATGAAGAGTAAACAATGTAAAACATGAGAAATTTTTGATGGATTCAAGTTCAAGTTTTCTTAAGATGAATTTTTTTAATCAAGTTAGATTCTACATTCACTTAGTGTTAACATTAATTAAAATTATTTACCGATGGATGTTCCTGATCTTGCATACACTGAACTAACATCCGTTTGATGACGTCTAAATAGTGCTGCTGTTGGTTCCCAAAAATTCCAGGAAAGTTCCTAAAAAACAAAATCCAAAGAAGTCTTAAAAAATCCCCACATTGTATCTTACTTAAATGTCAACTAAGATGACTAGCTTTCTTTTCTATTAAGGTAATACTTTTTTACATCAGTACTTAATATTCTTATCGAACATGTCGGACTAAAATATATGTACTAATTCTTACAGTTGAACATGCTCATCTTCCAAGGAATGCTTTCTGGGAAGTGAATGAATGGAAGCAGTGGAGAGGATGACGATGGGAACAGAGGTAACCTGGGTGCACACTACTCCATAACCCATCCCAGGCCCGGTGCTGAATCATTATCACTGCCTCCATAGGAAGCTGACCTGGAGTTCGAGAGCAGGACAAGGCAACAACTGCAGTTTCCTCACTGCAGTGACCACAATTTCTAACAGTATGCTCCTAGCTCCTAGATTTGGTGATTCAGATATTGCAAGCTGTTCTCTAAATTTGGCAAACAATTCAACTAAAAATTCTTTACTTAATTCTCTACTCAGGATTACTGATAAACAAGATACATTTGAAGTTATGAAGTAGAAAAAGGCACACTATATAACTTAACCCTCTTCTGATGCTTGCTTAAAAGAATGCCTTACGATCCAGAAAAATTATAAATTATATAGTAAGTGCAGAACTGTGCAGGCCAGAGGTACAGGGGGTGAGAGGATTCACCAGAGGCAGAGTGGGGAACAGAACAGGCGGACTGACTGAAATACACTGCTGAGGAGAGCAATAGGCAAGAGAGGAGAGGTCTGACTTGCCATGTGGGTCACCTCCCTGGCCCGGGATCGAACTCATGCTGTAGTGGCTGCTGACAGCTTCAGAGTGCTTAGACTTAATTCCTTGCGTCACCAAGAAGGTTCCACAAAAATATTCTTTTTAAAAAAAAAGATTTATTTATTTATACATACAAGAACTGGGGTACACGCCAGAGGTGTGTGTGTTGGGGGGAGAGGATTCACCAGAGACAGAGTGGGGAAAAGAACAGGCAGATCTACTGAAATACACTGCTGAGGGAAGCAGTGGGTGAGACGTGAGAGGTCTGCTGTGCTATGCAGGTAGCTCCCTGACCGGGGATAGAACTCGTGCTGCAGTGGCTGCGGATAGCTTAATCCCTTGCGCAACCAGGAAGGCCCCGCAAAAACTATTCTTAAGATAATCATTTAATTCTCAATCTGAAATATTTGCTTGCAAATACACAGGAATCTACTATATATTTCATAAAGTTTGGTCACAAAAGACCCAGAAAACAAAGAGGAATTCACTAGCATTTTCCTTCTCTTCTTCCAGATACCATTATTAAAATGGCTTTTGAAAGCTACATTTTGATACTGCATCTATCTCCAAATAAAGAAGTCATCCCAGAATTTTTTACAGACTCAAAAAGGACAAAGCAAAGAGATAAAATGGCGAAGGATACTTGTGCACAAAAAGATCACAATATAAAATAAAAAGCTATGTGTTTTTTCAATTTTACTTTCAACACAAATATAAAGTTTATCTAAAGGCACTGTGCTAAGTATTTAAGTTAGACTAAAACAATGAATTAAAGCTTTGGGCATTCATAACATTAAATTAAAAAAAAAAAAAAATTATCAATGCATATACCAGAAAATGTGAAGGGCAGCTTCCCGAAGCCCCATATTTTGAGAGCTGACTGAATCAAAAAGAAACTTCAAACCTTCAGGCCACTGGTTGTTGCCATCCTCATCTAAAAGTAAAGAAATCCAGGTGTAAAATGGTCAAGTTAAAACTTCAGACATCAAGGGTGAATCCTTTCATTTCATTAAGTTGTATTCAAAATACGCAGTAGTAGAAAACGTTAACTTGCTCCATATTTAAAAAAAAATTCCCCTAAAATAAGAGCTTTAACATAAAAAATGGCATCACTATCACCTTATGAAAAGCAATCCTGTGTGCTGGGCTACGGAAGAGTAGGTGATAGCTGTAGCTAGATATGGAGAAAAAGCGAACCCTACAATATGACAGGTTGAATCTTTGACTGTTAGGTACAACTGCTAGTAAAGAATTTAAAATGCAGGCAAAGCTAGTATTTGGTGACTAGATCTTGAAACCAAAGTAATTATCACTTTCAAACTGGTAAAATACAAGAACCCTGAGTCCACAGCAGTACGGATGCAGTTCTAAATAGTACAGGATGTTATCTATGTACTAACTTTTTTAAATAAGACTTTATAATACATTTTTTAATATTCTGCAGTAAGAAAAAGCAACCACAAAAATCCATTGTACCAGTTGAGAGACTCACTGGTTATACTGTTATAAAGAATAAAAACGTTGTAGGAATTACAGATGAGTTACCATACTTAAAAAACTTTCCCCAATATTTGCTGAAATTTTCTGAAAGACTGGTGTGCTTACATAGGTATTAACAAATGGAGGAAGCACTCTGAAAAATCTTGGCTATGTTTCCATTACTAAGTGATTTTGAATTAGAAACAATGTCACCTACATAATTTTCTCCTTTCAGATTTGAAAACTTAAAAAGAGCTTCGGCATGTCGGTAGCTGAGACTAAAATGTCAGTGTCATTATTTATTAAGCACAACAGGCACTGTTCTCCTGGTCAGCCCTCAAGTGGGCGAGGTATTCTCTTCAACCATTCAAACTGTCCAATAATTTAAAATCACAAATAAGAATGTCAAAAAAACAAACAAAAAAGCTTGTCAATTACATTATTAATAATTTTGATGTGACCAAAAAGAATTTAAAAGCTGGTAAGGGGCACTTTTAATTCAAACTTTAAAAATAAATGTTTTTGGGTATTTTATGATATATATAACAGCATATGTGCACCTTTATAAACATACTAATTAACAGCAAAAGCACCTCATTTCTAATTCCATTGACAAGTCTACAAAATACATGTATTAGACTTCTTTGAAAATTTAACAGATTAAGGGGGAAATAAAATTGACAATTTTCAGGCAAACTACAAAATTATTTCTCTGAATGAATGTTTTGAACATCAACAGGTAAATGTTGTAAGTGCATTTTACAAATATTGCCAATTTTTGACTCAACTGCACAATCCATAACTACTCTCTAATGGTACTCAAATACTCATTAATCTTCCTCCAGAAAGATTTTCAAAGAGGGATATACTCTTTCTTCTATAATACAATAATAAATTTGCATACATACCTATTAAATTCCTGGCTAGCTCTGCAGCAATATCACAAATTTTTTTCCTCATGCTAGACTGTGTTTCCATTTGGATAATCATTAGTAGTTCACTTTTGATGGCAGTTTGAACATCAGAAGGAAGAGTTGGATAAACTTCATCAAATGCAGACGATAAAAGACGTCTTAGGAGAACAGCAGCCATTTGTCTAGCCTATAAATAAACATTGTTAATAATTTGTTACCTTATTAGAGAAAAAAATTTCAAAAAACCAGATTCACTCTTCCTTGAAGTATTTTACTTCTCTATCTATACAATTAATTTCAAAAGCAGTTAATTTTTTAAAGTAGGTAAATACATAAACACTTTTTATTCATGTTAGTCTAAAAACTTATTTTTGTTTATAGCTGAACAAAAGACATATACATTAGCTCTCAAACAGGAACACATATCTTAGCAATGATAAAACTGTACTTAACTCCTGTTTTTAATGCATTCTTTGGAGAAAAACAAATGCTAGTTCATTGGCATCTTAGATAAAATTCTATCAAATCCATTTATCTTTATGATTCATTCACGCAAAACACCACCAGTTCCTAATACTTCTCCCTGTGTATATTCTTATCACATTTTCAAATTTGTATAACATTTAAGTTAGGCTATGTCTGTATATTTCTTCAAATTATCAAGAGAAGTCACGACAAATGGCATTCTAAAAATCTTAACAAATTAAATCAATTCATTTAAAATATTAAATTTTCACAATCTTTTATTGGGTTGTGGTTAATCATTGTGACTATAAGTAAGATGGTGAACAACATAAACAGTTCAGCTACTACAAATAAAATGTCAATTTTGTCCTCTGTTTGGTTTTCACTGAGAAATCTAAATTACTTTCGGTAGAATGTGAAGTTTAAAAAATTTATGTACAGAAAGAATTCAAAGTGTTTAAATTTGAACAATTCTCCCACACTGATAACTATGAAGTCTAAGATTTTAAGGCTATTTCACAAATCATCTACTTCTTAAATCAAATCTAGATTTAAATAGGGTTTAGTAAGTTTAAAAAAATAAAATTTAATATTCATTTTATTCTTGGCATTAAAATTTGTTTCACAGCTAACTTACATCTTCAAGAATTAGAAGTCAATTAATTTTAGAGATTTAAGTTACCTTACATAGATTTGTTCTTTGTAGCTGACATTCATTTTGACTTAAAGAATGAGTATGTTACAAAGGCAAAGATGCACCTTTTATTATCTATTAAACACTGGAGCACTTTATACTGCTTTTCAGGTGTTAACAGAACATCAAATTACCAATTTAAACTGACTGACTAGAAATAAGGCAAAATACTACATAGAAGTTTAGTGTGACTTCATTTCCATCCTGTGTTAATAAAAGCATCTTACATATAGTTTGTTTGTTAGCAAAAAGTCTCACTTTTACAAATTCTAAATACAATGTTTCTTAGGTGGGTTAAGTTTTCTTAAGTATTTTGACACCTTTTCCAAAAAAAGAGAGTAATGAATTCACATTCAACAAATATGGGAATATTATTTCTGGAAAGAAAAATAAATTAGCTGTTAAATGTATAGAAAAGAACAAACTATAAACTTGAATTTGGTTCAGTAACTAGTAACCTGCTAAAAATCATGAGAATAATGTCTTTTGTCCCTAAACATCTTTAGCACACATTCTTCATTACCTAGAGACAGTTATAAGCATAAAGATTTTAAAGATAGCCGAAAAAAATATTGTTTTCAGAAACATTTAGCAACAACGAAAACACTGAATGAAATAAATTTTCTCTTTTAGAAGTAAGGGGAAATTTCTTATGGGTGGGGAAATAAAGTTTAGAATTTTTAGGTAATTATTTGAAAGCCATTAACTTTTAATACCTTGGGTACATCATCTTACTTGGGGAAAAAAAAAAACCCAAATTATTATTTTTTTATTTTACAAGTTTTTCTCTTTTTCAATTTTTTTTTTTTTTTAATTATTTTTGCTAGAACTGGGGCATAGGCCAGAGGTGCAGGGGGTGAGAGGATTCACCAGAGACAGAGTAGGGAGCAGAACAGGCGGATTTACTGAAATACACTGCTGCGGGGAGTAGTTGGCGAGACAGGAGTGGTCTCTACGCCATGTATGTAGGTTAGTTCCCTGGCTGGGGATTAAGCTCAGGCTGTAGAGGTGATAACACTGAGACTTAATACCCCTATACTACCAGGGAGGCCCAAGAAATTCTCATTTTTAATACAGAGTACTTACTTAAAAAATATTGCGCCTCCAGAGTCCCTTTTAAGAAGTTCAAAGGTCTGGTCATGTGTACGCAGTAAACACCACTTCTCATCATCCACTCTGACCACCACTTAACACCCAGTCGGTTTCATAAGAATGACATTCTCAGATACGTACCTCCTCAGCAGCGGTTGTATTTCTGATTGCTTGTAAGAGAAATGTGATCTTTGACTGGCCTGGGATATTTTCATAGGTTTCCTACATGAAAAAGAAAAATGTTAAAGGTTAGAATATGTCAGAAATACGCTAATGCTATTGAATAATGCGGAAAAGGCTTTCGTGTGAAGTCATATTAGGTCTGGTGTTAAAATTTTCTCCTGTGACATAAAATATATACTCCATATAGATTAGGTAAGGATATTCAAGGAGTCACTTATTAAGTTCTTTCCTGTCTTGGTTTCTTAAACAGATTTTCCTAATGTATGTGTATATCTCCCCAACTTCGGCTCCTGTGTATAACAAAACATCAGGCCTCAAAACTGTTATGTGAATTGAACGACCATGCTGCAAACTAAGGGCTCACATGGCTTACCTCATAGAAAACTGCTTATCCTAACATTTTTTAGACCAGCTAATGTAGAATTGGTTCAAATTACTGCTACTTACAGCCACCTGAGACAGACCTCAAAGGAAGCAACAAGCCACAGAGCGAAGACTATTCAAAAATTTTAAGCTACATTTTCTTTCAAGTAAGGATTATCCTGAAACCATACAATATTATATATGTAAACAAACAGCCAAGAGAAATTTGGCCAGGAGATTTTAATATCCTTTATTATTATTTTACATTTAGAAACTTAGGATTTTTGGTGACTTAGGACACATTTCAGAGCAAATAGGCTAACAATAAAAAGCTGACAGCAATCATTGTTAGAGTGGGTCAAAAAATAAGACCTAAGTACATGCTGTCTACAAAATAAGCTGAAGAGCAGCATAATTCATATGACATTAAAGTCCAACAATGGCAGTGTTTTGCTATAGAAAAGAAATCATTACTGTAAGTACATATGGAATTGTTTTCCCCATGAAGCTTCTTAGATAGTTCACACTCATATACCCTCTGAGGGTCTAACGTAGATAACATGTTTAAGTTTAAAGAGCCTGTCTGCTCTACCATGCCAACAGTCTACCTGGGGGTCTCTGGTCACAAGTGACAAGGACAAGAGAGAGGGAAACTGGGTTTCTTTGAATCCACACCTACTTTACACCTGTTACTAAATGCTCCATAGCTCCCTCAATATTGACCAATAAAGAAAGGCTCAGGAGTTAAAAGACTTGCTCAAGATCACAGATAAGAAGTAGTAGGAAAAACTCTGGTCTACTGGGGCCAATTCAAAATCTCTGGGCACTGAATGTTCTCTATGGGTTACCCCCTGGGGGCTGACTCCACTCAACAGCTGATGGATGCAGTGCCACACAGTTTTTAAGCTTCTCAAAAGTATCTCAATCTGGAGAATAAATTCGGGAGAAAGCAGAATTCAAAATCTACTGATAACCTCAAGTTCCTCCCAAGTACATACACACACAGGATCACAACAATGTTGAAAACTGTGACAAGAAGCATTCACAGCTGAGGAGAGAAGATGGTCTGAATTTATTTATCCAGAAATGAGATAATTTATGTAAAGCTATTCATAAGATGATTGCAAAAATGGATATGTACCTTGAGATTTTTCACTTAATCTTTATCAAAGCAACCCAAAAGCCGGTACATCTTTTCCATTTAAGCAGTCTCACAGTACAATAAATGTGTTTTTAATCCTTGTGCCTTTGCTTATCTGTAGATGCTATGAATGTTTAACACTTAAATTTCCAGGGGACTAAAACAAGTTTTGGAAAATAAAATTCTCTACCAGAATATCACTCCCAGAGGCCTGTTATAAATTTGAGGCTCTCCACCCTTGCTCAGCTGGGATTATCATTGTGATAGCTATACAATGCTACTTCTGCTAAAGACTGCTAAACATCATGTCAAATATTAAACTCTACTCCACGACCAATCCAAAGTCAATGGCAGGATGAATCCAAAGTCAAGTCAGATGTCTGAGTGACCTGAGAGAGGGTTCTCCCCACCAGATATGTTTCACTGTGGCAATCCAGATATAGCATTACATCTGCACCACACCATTGGCCAGGGCAATAGTTTAGAAAAAAGAATGTACACTTAAAATCAAAAGTGCAACTTTTTCTGAAACCTGAACAGACTGAGTTTCACAAAGACTGGGATAGTATCTCTTCCTCTTTGTATTCCAAGCATGGAACACATCAGAGTATAGCAAACATAAAGAATAATTCTAATATACCTAATACTAACCTAACCGGGTTCAATGAATTTGACTAATGTAGCAAGTGGCAAATAAAAAGCCAATTCCATTTGATTCCACCACACGCAAGCACAAAATGTAAAGATTTCACCTCAGCCCCTTTTCCTACCCACAAAGGAGAAATGCTAATATGTACTAATCGCCCTCATTCCACAAATAATTATGGGTGCCCACTTTTACATGAAAAGGTAAAAGAAGAGACAAACCACTTTACCTATTTAAGATCCTCAACATAGTTCTCAAAAATCAGGTATATTTTCCAATACATTATCCTCCAAATCTCACTAGTGAAGTTCTATATTATAATCAATGAAGAACAAAGTCAATGGGAAATAATACACGAAACCCATGCGGATGATTAAGAAAATACTTTAGCTATGTTATATAAAAATGTCTAGTCATGAATACCATTGAATTTTTGATTACTCATCAATTATTCAATTGTTTATTCAATGTTAATTATAGTATGTTGAAGGCATTTAAATAATTTCCTCAAATACCAGAAACACTCTTGTAGAGCTAAAGAGAAATATCCTTGAAGATAAAATATACACACACATAAATCCTACCAAATGACATATAGAGTGGAAAAGTTCTGTAACTTTAAAAAAAAAAAAAACTTTTAAAGTCCTTTTTTGATTTCAACTATAAAGCAATAAATGTTTTACTGTATTTGATTTCAATTTTGAATACAGGTAACCTCAGTTAACAGTTTAGCATTTTTGTGTCAAAATTTTTATTTCGACTGAGTAAATTACAAAGATAGTTACTGAGCCTTTGCAAATTCTTCAGTTCAATTTCCCTCCCTATATTTGTTGTATAATTTAGTTTGATTACCTGGTAAAGGTTTATAAGCCAAAAAAAGGGGGCGGGACTACATTAGAATATTAATTGCAGCCATTTCTTTTTTCAAAATTTTGCCTTTCTAAGAAGCTCTACTTACAGACCAATGTCGTGCTTTATTACATGGTGGCAGGGAGCTTCCCCTGACACTTACCTTTTTGGGATCATTTAAGAAAATTCCATATTACATTAATTATTTTACATATTAGAATATTCTCAGGATATTCTAACAAAGTAAAAATATCTGAATGTTCTCACTAGGAATAAAGAAGCCAAGTAAGTAACAGTATTTTTTCCAATTGTTATCGATGAGAATATGTGCTGAATGCTGCTAAATATCCCCAAAGTGATGGAAGTGATAAAAGATTTACAACAGGCACCAATGGAATTCAAGGTAAACCAGACACTGGTGTTTAGTTCAACAGAAGAGATTCCTACCAGGCTTGACAACAGAGACTTAAGCAACTGGAGGAAAGAGGGAGAATTAAAGTAGCTTACTAATTACAATGCTGCTGTACTTTGTAACACATGGAAATTTCTATTATGGGTTGGGATTAAGAACTTATTTTGGTGAAAAATTATCTCTACAGTTAGCGCAAAGCATCAAAATGTCCTTATAGGCATCATCACATCCCACAGAGGAGTGCAAATGCACATGACTTCTAATGACAAGTGCTACCTTAAGTCTTCTACATACAAACCTGGTTAAGTCTGGAAGACACATCTGAACTCCTATGTACTATGCAATTTTTAAGAAGCAGGACACTGGAAATCACAATGTTCATTCATCAGGGACTGGTTGATTAAATAACACATTCACACTATGGAATAGCACACTGCTGCTTGAAAAAACTCCTATGTGGCTACATGAAAATACAGTGAGTGAAAAACCCAAGCTGCACAGTAGGTGAATGCATACATATACATACACTTGCAAGGGTATTTCAGGGAGAACTCACAAGACACTTAAAAAAAGTGGGTTACCTTTGGATAATGGGGTAAAAAAAACCTACTTGCACTGTTTGAATTTTTACCCCAAATACGTATTACATGTCTAATAAATAAATCAAAACTCATCAGAATAAACTTAATAGGTGTTTAAAGTGCTTTTTCGCACAGCACTAAACTTCAGTGTATTAGATGCACTTATAGAACCACTAAGGGTGTCCAGCATCTACTGAAGCTACTGAAAATACGAGGTAAGGACACTGTGATTTTTGAAGTCAATTATAAGCCCCACAAGACCAGGAGTCCAGCAAAGAGCCTGTCCCCCAATTCCACAGTTATATGTAAAATAAGTTTTTGGCTCCATAAAAATATCTAACAGCATCCTTCTTGGAATCTTGTAAAAATCTTCAATCACCGGGAGGCAAAGCACTCCAGGCAGAATCAAGCCCGGAGTCAGCTGCTGATAACACCCTCAGAAGACCTGGAAAGTTCCCGCCCTTCTCTCCAAGTGCTTCCCGGACCGCGGGAGGGGAGCCGGCCCTGACAGCACCTCCCCGCCCCGGCGACGGGGTGCGCCCGCCGAGGCCGGCAGGCGCCCCGCAGACACACTCACACACTGACCCTCGCCCGGCAGCTCCCCATCTGCAGGCCAGAAGCCCGAGGTGCTTGGGAGAAAAAAACAGATTCAGGTGAAACTGAATGAAACTGAAGACTTGCAACCTGCGGCCCCGACCCAGGGACACGACGGAAGTCCCAGGACACCCCATTTTTATGGAGCCCACAAACCTCCAGAGACCCAGTAAAACGTGTCTGAGGGCAGCGGCGCCGGGAAGGGGGGGCTGCTCGGAAAGCGGCCTCGGGCCACTTCGCCCGCCGGGGGAGCGGGGAGCGCGGCGGCCGGCGCGGGCCCGCGCGGGGGGCCGGCCGGCTCCGGGGCGCGCGGGGGCAGGGCGGGCCGCGCTCGGGCTCGCGCGCCGGAGGGGCGGGGGCCGGGCGGGCCGGGGCGCGGGCCGGGCCGGGGCCGGCGGGTGGGGGCGGCCGCGGGCGCGGAGGAGACGCCCCCGGGCCGCGGGCCGCGGCGAGGGGCGCCCGGCCCCGCCCCGCCCGCGCCCGCCGGCGGCGCCTGTCAGCGGCGGCCGCACGTGTGCGGGGCCGGCCGGGGGCAACCGGCGGCCGCGGCGACTGCACGGCCGGAAGGCCCGGGCGGCGCGGACCGCGGGCGCCTCACACGTGGGCTGCGCGGCCGCCACCCGGGCGGCCCGGCCTGCGCGGCCGCGGGGACAGGCGGGCCGGGCCGGGCCGGGCGCGGGGCCGCTCGCTTACCTCTGCCTGTTTCCGGACCACATTGTCGGGGCTGAGCAGGTTTCCCAGCAGCAGGTAGAACTGTTGCTGCTCCGCCGCGGCCGCCGCCATTGCGCTAGGCGTGAGAGAGAAGGAGGGAGGGAGACGAGCCGTGAGGCGCGCGGCGGCCGGCGGGAGGGGCGGGGGCGGGCCCAGCGCGGGGACCGGCACCAGCGGCGGCGCGGGCGGGGGCCGGGCGGGAAAGGGCGGGGCAAAGGCGAAAGGGGAGGGCGGGGCGGGGCCTCGCGACCCCTCACCCCGCCGCGGCCGCGGGCGCCGGCGCCTCATTGGCCGGAGGGGCGGGGGGCGGGGCCGAGGCCGCCTCCTCGGGGGCCGCGCCGATTGGCCACGCACCCCGCCGTGCCGTCACTGGCGGCGCGCGGCCGGCCGCCCGGCGGGGCGGGCCGAGGACCTCGCGGCCTGGCTGGGGCCCGGGCTGCGTCGCGGGGTGGCGGGAGGGGCCGGCTGGCGGGCCCGGCCGCGGCGAGGGGCGTGAGGCCCGGCTGGGGGGAGGGGCCAGCTCCAGAGCGCGGGAGATTTCGGCGCCGCGGGCGGGCCGGCCTCCTCCCCCTCAGCCGCCCGCCGGCCCCACCCCGCGGCCCGTGGGGCGCCCCCCACCCCCGCTCCGGCCGCCGTGACCCCCAAGGATGGAGCCGCTCGGAGACCCAGTTCCCGCTTCGACCCCATCCCTGGGTCCCCCGTCCCCTGGCTCACTCGGACCCCCCCGATCTCTCCCCGGACTCTGTGACTCAGCCGCCCCTTCCCCCCGCCTGGCTCACCGTGACTCACGCGCTGGGTCCGGAAGAGGGGTTACTCAGCCCGGGCCCCCCAGGCCTCGCCCCCTGCATGAGGTGTCCCGAGGCATCCACGTGGCACACAGGCCGCCCCCCCGCCCCTCCCCCCGGGACCGCGGCCGTTCCCGGGAATTCCTACTGTGGGGGTGCCATTCTTGCCAAGGTTGGGGCAACTTGAGAGAGACAACCCCCCCCTCAAGCTGCACTGGTTTGTAGGAGGGGTCCCCCTCAGTAAGTGTGTCCTGACCCCGCCGCTAGCCGGGGGGCGCGCAGCCAGCTTCATGGCCCTCACTTAGGCGTGGATAACACCCGCTCTGCTTTCCTGGCCGAGCGGCCAGAGGCCGGGAGTGCAGGGTCCAAAGGTTAACGGGCCCTGGCGTGGAGCCCCTCCTGTATCCACTGCATGGGGGGACTGGAGAATAATTCATTTTTGCCTCAAAAGGACATCCATTCCTGGCATTCGTGTCATGGGGGCGCGAGATGGACAGTACTGCCCTTAGTGTGGCAGCCCATAGTATTTAACTTGGGGTTCAATTTGCTGTCAACTGCTCTGCTGACTTTCTGCTCTTTGTTTTTAGGTAAACGATTTTTAACCTTGGCTGTAACATTAGAATTATCTCAGCCACTCACTCTGTCTGGAATCTCTGGGCTGAGGCCCTGGGAATCGCACACAACGTAATTACCCTGAAAGATATTTTAAAGGTTTCTGATCGATCGTGGCGAAAATGCCCTCCGAAAGCTTTTGCTGGGACATTGATGGGGGTTCTCTACAGGGGATCTGCAGGTCTATCTTGGAAGAATTGGTTTCTTAGGAGTGACAATTTGTCATTCCCAGGATTCCCTATTTCTTCAAAGACAGACTGTTACGTACATTAATTAAGAATAGTTTTTAAAAACTTGATTTTTTTTTAGTTGTTCAGCAGTGGGCACATCTGGATTCTGGGAAGGCCTTTCCCCACTCAAGGTTAAGATTTGGGGAATTACATACTGAAACAACCATTAATGACTAGGTTACTAATGAGATAGGATACATTTCCTACAGGCTTGCTCAGGGTTGGCTAGCTCTCCGGTTACTTTTAACACCTGCTGTGGTTTATGTTTTCATTGGCAAGCACTCTGTAATGACATGATTTTGTTGATAATTATTATATAATAAAAATTCCTACATCAATTTGTTGATCTGTCAAAATGGGAAGCTTATTTTTTGACTCAGCAAAGCATAAACTTATTTCAGGCTAGAAACAAAACAGTTCCGTATTAGTGGTAACATACACTGCTCGAACAGAGAATGGCAGCCTGTCCTCATTTTAATATTGTAAATAGCCTATCAAAAGGGAAGGAGAAGTTTTTTTAGGGTAATGAATAAAAAGCTCATGAGAGAGGAGAAATCCCTGTAAACTGGGGGTGGATAGGGGACATTCTGACAATGAACACCAGCTATGGTGACCAGAAAACCGTTCAAGTAGCAACTGTTTTCAGCAGCAGGCCTGCCATCTTGGGTAATTTGTAATGCTCCTTCTGGGAGTTTATTGTATTTAGAAATCCATTTCCTTGGGAAAGAGTCCTGTTTGTTTCATGAAAATTAAGGTCTTTCCCACAAGAAGATAACTCAGATATTGTACAAAAGCAGTCTCCAAAAATGTAGATTTACTTCTCAAGGAGATAAGATGGTATAAATTAAAGAATCTTGAACTTGAGTCAATTTGGCCTTTAATCTCATACTAGTTGTATGAACTTGAGTCAATATTATAATATTACATATAATATATAATAATAACAATATTCCTAACCCTCAATTTCTAATCTATCATATGGCAATAATAATGACTGTTAAGGTATAATAATATAATCACAAAGTTTTAACATTAAGTTATAATGTTAAGTGAAATGGACGAGTACAAAACTTTGAGTCTTGCTGGATTAGTTGCCATTGCTCTGGGCAATGAACTGTGAATCACCAGCTTCTGTAACAAACTAAATCAAGAGCCCTAGTGGAGTTCTTTAGCAGCTCTAATTTCTTTTGTACTTACTAAAAAGTGTGGCTTTCTAGGAATTTATCCTAAAGTAACTGAGGCTTACACATTTAATGAAAAGGATGTTTCCTATAGTAACTATCTATATAAAACAATAGCAAAAAATCAGAAACAGTCTAACTGGCCTAATACAGTTAACTAATTAAAAAATATTAGCTATTGCTATATAATTCTTTAAAGCCTTTTAAAATGAGGTTAGATTAAAAAATTCACAGATACTGAAATATGCTCACAACACAATGTGAAAAACTAAGAAAACTATGCATGGAATGATCCTTTTTTTTTTTTGAAAAAAGGTCTAAATAGGCACACTGAGTCTAAATAGACCTTTCTGCAATAATGGGAGTTGTTATATTTGATTCATTGGTGCAATAATCAATAGAGTCTTTTCCCTCTCAGCTTATTAGACCTGAGACTATTAAGTGCTATTAAGTTCTGGGGGGTTACTTACTTTGAGCATTAACAACCCCTTGTGAAAAAAAAGATGAAGCTGGGAAACTAAAAGACTAGAAGTTTCTCTCGACTTATATATGTTATCTAGGTAATTTATGATCACTGGCATTTGTTAGAAGGCACTGTATGGTCTGGTCATGATCGTCTTATGATACTACAGGAGGCAGTACTCCTAACAAGAGCGCATCAGAATCTGCTCCAGCCACTGCTGGTTTATGAGCTTCCATATTGATCGGAATGTTCTAGAAATGGGAAGAGGCTAGAGAAATTAGGTTTATAAAACCTCTGTGAAAGCAACTCTCAGATGGGGTAGAATTTGGTCTTTTTATTTCTCTATTTTGTAATTGAAAGTAATTGCATTACATTCATTTTACATATTCATCATTGACAATCAATGTGTGTTTTTACTATACTAATTTTACCACTGAAATTCCAAGTCCTCCACCAAAGAATTTGGTCTTGTCTGTCATTTCTGGTCTATTGGATGCTGAATGTAAATAAAATAAGATTCTTTCTAATGAACAACTCTGTACTTTTTTTTTTTAAGTTGCCCCAGGACTTCAAAAGAACATGTGCTCTCTGCATCATAACTTATATACCATATATATATATATCTCATAATAGTCTATATCATGAGAGTTTGTTTAGATCTTGTGAATGAACATATTGTAGTCTGTAACTGTAAAAAGATGTACCATGATGGTATTATTTCAGGTATTTGTATTAATAGTTGACATAGTTCAAAGAAAAAATAATTGGCATTATTTTCTCATCTGCAGAATAGGAGTAATACTTAAGGGTTTTGTGAAATGTACATAGTATGGAGTTTGCATAATAGTTACTCAATATTGCCAGCTATAATTCATGAGATGGGCTTGGGGTTGAATAAAAAATAGCATGTAGTTACTGTTAAAGCTACATGTGAGGTCGATGTGTGAATCACACTTGTGTGTGTATAAAGTATCTTTGTATATTTTGTGTTACCCTCCCAATTATGTAGAGTAAAATGATATGTGGAATGGGTTAAGGATAATTAATCAACACTTGACTGATAAAGATCTCTTTCAAATTTTGTTACCAAGATAAGAGCCAGCAAAAAGAATAAGACCTTTTGCAACGTTGTTCACTGGAAATAAAAATGCTGAACTATTCACATTTCTTCAGCTGCTTTTTATCAAAACTTTCAAGCCCCTGCTCTGAAGCTGTCTGTTACAAAGCATCCCAGTGGGAAAGTGGAGGCTGCACATTCCTGAAGTGCATTGCATACAGTAGTTCCTCAGCAAAATCGCTTAGGACAGGCTGGGGAAATTTGGACTCAGCTTTTTTGCTTCTTCTATCATGGTTTTATAAGTGAAATTCACCCAATGTCCAGAGATGATTCGATTCATTTCAGAGAAGCATTGCTGTTTTGATGCTAGGAGCACAGGCTTTAGAGCAAGCCAGAAATAGAATTCAGATAGTGATTTCCCAACTTACATGCTCTGTGACATGGCTCAAGTTCATTAACCTCTTTTAGCCCCCGTTTCCTTTTTTATGAAATGAACGTAACAAAAGTACCATTCAACATGTTTTAACATATTTGGCATATTGCCTGGCATAGAGTAAACGCTTAATAAATGTTAGCTAATATTACTTTTGTGGATTGAAACTCCCAAAATCTGTAAATTTAATTCAGATTGCACATCTACCGGTTAGGTTGTTACATTTTGACCCTCCTTTTATAAATAAGCAGTCTTGTTATAATAATGCATAATAATTGGTTTAGTAAGAAACCAACTGTGGGTGTGAGCATTACATATTATGTTAAGGCTATTTTCAGTTTTAAACGATGATGCAGTTGAACTGTTCAATGTGGTAGCCGCTTATCACTAGCCGAGTGATCATTTGAAATGTGACTACTTCAATTCAAAGTGTGCTTTAATTGTAAAATATACATCAGATTTTCTAAGACAGTAGGAAATTAACAATAACTAACATTAGTCACATGTAGAAATGATAATGTTTGGTTAAAAATATTCATGGATTTATTGTTTTATATAATAAATTATATATATTTTAATATAGAAAATATATTTATATATTAATGAATTGTAATTATTAACTGTGTTAACAATTTGTCTTTTCTATTGTCACTTTAAAATATGGCTATTGGAAGCTTTGAAATTAACTATATGATTTGCATTTGTGCTTCATATTTATATTTGTATTTATTTTGGACAGTACTTTGCTAAAGAATCCTGGCTACCCCATAGCTATCTTACATACTTTGTTCATTTAGATTGAGGAAATGACTTACCAAATGAAAGTCAATTACCTTATACTGCTTTCTGTTGCTTCCAGTTTTCCAATTTGATTCTCAGGGATTTGGAGACATGGCACAGTACTTTCTGAGCAGTGTTCCTTGCTTAGGAGTTTTCTTTCCCTGCTGGTTTGACATTAAACAGATTTATGGATCTTTAGAAGATAATTAAGATTCCAGGCTTGATCCTGTAGAATTAATCTTTATCAGTTAATTAAAGGCCTCTGAGTAATTGGGAAAATGGAAGAATGCCTTTTATTTTTTGATGTTGATTTTTTAAAATGGACCGTAAATAACCACTATTTGTTGCATTTTAATACCTGAAGTAAAAATATACTTATCAGAATACTATAGCTTTTAAGTTAAATGTTTTTCCTTAGAACACAGATAGGTTGAAAACAAAAGGATGGGCTAATATATGCCGAAAGTGGGAAATGGAGTGAGTAAATCAAGAAGGTGGATTATGGCATGGTGAAGGGTAGAATTGAACTTTAGCTGTGAACTTAATGTAGAATCTGTACCTGTTGATTCTCAGTCATGCACATCTGAAACTTACATGTTATAATGCATTGTTATTGCAATTAAAAAAAAGTAAATTTGAGAAGGTATATCATGTAACAGTATATGAACAAGAGCTGAAATGGATATACTAACATCAAACAAAATAGACTTTAAGACAAAATTGTTATCAGAGACAAAAGATGGCATATTATTATGATAAAAGGGTCAATCAACCAGGAAGACCCAACAGTTATAAAAACATGTACCTGTTAATGGAGCTCTGAAATAGATAAAGCAAAAACAGAATTGAAGAGAGAATTTCAATGAAATAGTTGGAGACTTCAATTTCCACTTTCAATAATGGATAGGACCACTGGCAGGAGATCAACAATAACAGAAGACAGGAAGAAAACAGATAACCTAAACGACATCTGTAGAGCAGTTCATCCAACACGTACTCTCAAGGGCAAAGCGGGCATTTTTTAGGATAGGCCATGTATTAGAGCATAAAACAAATCTTGGTAAATTTAAAAAGATTGAAGCCATACAAAGCATGTTCTATCCACAGTAAAATAAAAGTAGAAATCAAGAACAAAAGGAAACGAGTTCACAAATCCAAAGAACTTAATTAGCAGCCTCATAAATAATAAATGGATTGAAGAAGAAATCACAAGAGTAATGAATTAGGCACTTATTTGAGATACAGAAAACAAGATAAAACAAGATACCAAAGATACAAATACAAAACACCAAAATTTATGGGATACAAAGAAAGCCGTGCTCATGGGCAAACAGTTGTAAACATCTACATTAAAAAAGAAGAGAGATCTCAAATTGACAATCTAACCTAGTTATTTTAAAAAATGGCAAACTAAACCTAAAGCAAACAGAATAATAAAGATAAAAGATTAATTAAGTGAAATAGAAAATAGAAAAAACAACAAAAAATGTTTTTTTGAAAAGATCAACAAAGTTCACAAACCAGATAGACTAGAGTAACCAAGATAAAAAGAAATGGCACTCAAACTACTAAAATGATAGGAAAAAAGAGAGGTTTCCAGAGAAAGAAGCAATCTGTTTCAAGGCACCAACATAGAAACACCTGCTGCTTTGCTCTGCAAAATTCACATTCAAGACTGCAACTCTTACCTGAAGTGGAAACTTGGCCTGTGGTATAGATTTCAAGATGTGCCAACCCCCACAGTCACATAAGCTAATTTCTTTGAATAAATCTGTGTCTCTATATCCTACTGGTTCTATTTTTCTGGAGAACCTTGACAAATACAGATTTGTCACCATCATTGCCACTATCATTTCATGTAAATGAAGAATCTTTTCAAGAAATGTTGCTGGCACACCTGGATAGCCACATGCAAAAGATTGAAGCTGTATCTGTACTTCACACCATATACAAATCTGAAAATGGAGCCTAGACCTAAAAGTCAGAGCTGAAACTATTAAATTCTTAGAAGAAAATAAGATTAACAAGATTAAATCTTCAAGGTCTTGGATTTGCCACTGGTTTTATAGACACACACCAAAAGCATGAAAGACAAAAGGAAAAAATTGGCCAATTGGACTGACTCAAAATCAAAAACTTTTGTGCTTCAAAGAAAACCATCATGAAAACAGAAAGAATGAGCGAACACATTTAAATGTCATCTGATATGGAACTTATATCCAGAATATATAAAGAAGTGTTAATGTTGAGTAACAGAGAGGTAACCCAATTAAAAAAATGGCAAGACATTGAAGCTCTTTCCCTAAAGAAGATAAACAGACACAAATGGCTAATAAGTACCTGCTCAACTTAATTAGTCATTAGGAAAATGCAAAGCAAAACTACAGTGGGATACTACCCCTTACCCACTAGGATAACTGTAATAAAAAAGAGACTAGCAAGTATTGTTGAAGGTGGAAACGCTGGAACCCTTATTCATTGCTGCCTGCAGTGTAAAATGGTGTGGTCAATTTGGAAAACAGTTTGGCAGGTCTTTGAAAGTTAAACATAGAGTTACCATGTGACTCAGCCATTCTAAGTATATGCTCCCGAGAAAAGGCAACTGATGTCAACACAAAAACTTGTACGGGAATGTTCATAACAACATTATTCAGAATAGACCAAAGGTGGACTTAATTCAAATGTCCATCAACAAATGATGGTACGTCTGTTTAATGGGATGTTATTTGGCAACTAAAAGAAGGGAAGGATGGGTACATGCTATAACATGCAAAGTGGAAGAAGCCAGACATAAAATGTCACACGTATTTTGGTTCATTTACGTGAAGTGTCCAGAAACAGTAAATCTAAAGAGATGGGAAGTGGATTAATGACAGAGGGGCCAACGTACGAGGTGGGGATTGACTTCTTATGGGTTTGGAGTTTCTTTGGGAAATGAAAATGGAATGTGATAGGGCAATGGACATGCAACTTTGAATGCACTAAGTGTTCAATTCTATACTTTCAAAGGGTGAACTTCATGGTGTGTGAGTTCTAGCCCAGCAAAATTTGTCTTTTAAAAAATGCTTTTGCTTAGAAATCTGAAGAAAATCGAATTGTTTGTACTGATTGATTGTACAATTGAATTGTACTGATTGATTGTTTTCTATTTTCACAATACTTTTGACAATATGAATAGATGATAATATTCATAACTCTCTAGCCTGCTGAGCATCCCATAACCATTATCTGGAGGAAAGGAAATAGAAAAATTAAAAAATGGTTTAGTCTATATCTTTTTTCTCTTCTATTTGCTATTTATAGCAAGTATCTTAGAGTTTGGAAACCATGACATATACGTTTTACCTAATGACTTATGATGACATAGCGAAATATCAGTTATGACATAAGTTCATATCAGATTTGAACTCACGGGCAGGTTAGGTATTTAATGACCTACTGTTAATCAGGAAGTAGGAAAGAAAGATTTTATAATAGTTCGTATTCTCAATTCCACATTCTATGTGTCATACTGTCTTATTGAACAATTTACTGTGTTATTATATGCGACATTACATTTATTCCTCAGCAAGCATTTATTGGGCACCTGCTATGCAGCCAGCACTGCTAGGTGGTGGGGAATGAATGGTAAGCAAGGGTGCTGGGTTTCTACATTAATGGAGCTGAGAATCTTTTTGTTTGTTTACTTGTTTAAAAAAAAAACAAAGATTTATTTATTTATGCTTACAAGAGATGGGTGTAGGCCAGAGGTATGGGGGTGGGGGTGTAGGCCGAAGGGTGAGAGAGTGAGACAGAGTGGGGAGCAGAACAGGTAGATTTACTGAAATACACTGCTGAGGGGAGCAGCGGGGAGACAGGAGAGGTCTGCTGTGCCATGTGGGTCAGCTCCCTGGCTGGGCATTGAACTCTGGACGCAGTGGCTGCTGATAGCTTCATAGTGCTGAGATTTAACCCCTTGCACCACCAGGGAAGCCCAGAGCTGAGAATCTTTTGAAGTCCACAGCAAGCAAGTAAATGAGTAGAGAAGATAATCTCAGAGTGACCAGTGAAGAGAAGATAATGTGGTCAAGAATAACTGGTGTAGAGTGGGGTGTAGACTTTTGAGAGGAAGTTATGTTTGAACTGAGACTGGGAAGATGAGGAGAGAAGTGAAGATGGAGAAATTCTCCCAAACAGAGAAATCAAGGAGTAGAAAAGGCCCAAGGCAAATATGAGTCAATCAGTCCAGCAGGGAAGGAATGCCATGGTGGGAGAGGGTGGAGCTATGAGGGAAGGACCAGGAGGTGGGCAAGGCCTGTCAGCTGGGGCACTGTGGGATTTCAGTAGTTTGACTTACCCTGAGTGCAATGGGAAGCCTGGGAGGGTCAGGAAAGAATATGACTGGTTTAGCAGGTCATTTAACATTTCAGCAGTTTTAACAGATCATTCTGGCTGCTTTATAGGAAATCATCTGCAGGGGAGAGCTGGGGGAGCTCTAGATGGTGATAGAAGCACTCCAGACCAGAGAAGATGTTAGTGGGGGCTGTAGTGATCAACTGTGGCCAAGACGGTCAGATTGAGGTATACTTTTCTTTTGGGGTGCAGAGGTGGATCCAAGTTTTATGGGCCTCAAGATATATATACAATTTGAGAGTCCTCTTTAAGCAAAATAAGCTTGACCCAGTATGAGAGGAAGAAAAGGCCTTGGAAGGGTCCTGTGAATGTGAAGAAGCTACAGTTTGAGTTTCACTGACTTGACTATAAATCCTCCTCTTGATGGGGTTGAGACAGAGAGAAATGAAGGGTGCCTAACTTTTGGGTCTGAGCAGTGAGGATTCTGTTAACTTGAAGGTGTCTTTGGGTAGGGTCTGAGGGAAGAAAAGAACTGGGTTTTGCTCATGGTAGCTTCCAGATGCCCAGTAGACATCCAAGTGGTGATGTCAGCAGCAGTTGAACAGAGGGGCCCGGAGCTCAGTAGGCAGGCAGGGCTGGAAAGAGCAATTATAAGTGACCATTTTCATGGCATTTGAGGCTTTAGAGGTGGATGGCATGGCCTGGGAAGAGAGAAGAGGGCTCAGAATGCAACCCTGAAACATTCCAGCACCTAGAGTTTAGGCAGAGGTGGTTCTAACTCAGAAATAACACAAATAAAATCATAAAATCTTCATAAAATCTTAAAATCTTC